CTTATCCAGAGTCACTATGCTATCCCATATCAACCCCGAAGCGTCGCTTATTTTGTGCACAGATGCCTCCCAAGTAGCTGTAGGGGCAGTATTACAACAAAAGATGAAGGGCGAAGTCACCCCACTCGCATTCTTTTCTAAGAAGTTGGAACCGGCTCAGACACGATACAGCACTTTTGGGAGAGAATTGCTGGCCATATATCTTGCAGTGAAGCATTTCAGTTACTTACTACAGGGCCGGCATTTCACTATTTTTACTGACCACAAGCCCCTGTGTCATGCTTTCACTACTTCACTTGATAAACACTCCCCTAGAGAAGCCAGACAGTTGGATTATATCTCCCAATTTTCAACCGACATTCAGTACATCAAAGGGGATGCGAACGTGGTAGCCGATTCTCTTTCAAGAAGTGACATTAACCAGCTCCAAACGTCGGTAGACATCAGTCTTGATCGTATGGCTCAATTACAAAGAGATGACGTTGAACTCCAAACCTGCCGCAGAAACTCTTCCTTACAGCTCAAAGATGTGCCTATCCCCTTATCAGATGCAACCATAGTCTGCGATGTATCTACCGGCACTAATCGTCCATTTGTCCCTCTCAGTTGCCGAAAAGCATTGTTCGAACATTTACATTCGCTTTCTCACCCTGGAGTACGCGCCACGGTCAGACTGATCAGCGAACGCTTCGTGTGGCCTAAAATGAACTCTGACATTCGGAGATGGGCACGAGAATGTATCCAATGCCAATGCTCCAAAGTACACCGCCACACTATTACAACCCCGAAGACGTTTAAATTACCCGAAAGGAGATTTCAGCATATCCATATAGATATCGTGGGACCATTGCCAACATCAAGGGGATATACACATATCCTGACAGCGATTGATAGATTTACTCGTTGGGCTATTGCATGCCCCTTAAACGACATATCTGCTGAAAACGTTGCTTTAGTTTTTCTCGACCGTTGGGTGTCAAACTACGGTGTACCAACTACTATTACATCCGACCGCGGTCCTCAATTCCAATCGACACTCTTTCGCGAACTGACGAGACTTCTGGGAGTGAAACATATCTCCACAACAGCCTATCATCCGGCAGCGAATGGTCTAGTGGAAAGATTCCACAGACAACTGAAAAGCTCCCTGATGGCGCAGAATGATACATCTAAGTGGAGTGAATACTTACCTTTGATTTTACTTGGTATCCGTTCTACTATCAAAGAAGATTTAGGATGTACACCGGCTCAACTTGTCTATGGCACCAACCTAACCTTGCCTGGACAGCTAGTCCCCTCAGCCGATTCCACAGACGTGAACATTGCCGACTTCACTAACCGATTAACTAGACAAATGCTTCAACTTCAACCAACAGCACCTCGACAATCTCCCCGAAGAGATCAGATCAACAAACATCTACAAACTTGCAAATTCGTCTTCATTCGAGTCGACGCCATCAGAAAAGGATTGCAACCTCCATACGAAGGACCCTTTCAAGTTATTAAACGTTCAGACAAACACTTTACAGTGAACAAGAATGGAAGACGAGAGACTGTTTCAATTGATCGAATCAAACCCGCATACACCGACAACGACTTCGAATCTACATCGGCAACTGCGCAATCAAATAATCAAACATCCGATTCCACTCCACCGGCACCAAGTCTTATCCTCCCTCCATATCAAACACGTAGTGGTCGGCAAATCAAAAAACCGGCTCGCTACGTTCATTTTGAGGACTAACAAAAGAAAAATAATTAAAAATTATTATTATCTTTTTCGTTTAGACATTATCATCATGACCGTTAGTATTTCGTCGTAAACTTTGATGTTACTATCACTATTATTTATTTATATGTACCTCACCGAAAAAACAGGTAGTGTCCTTTCCAAAAACTATTGATCTTTAATCCATATTTTTTTTAATGTTTCTTTCCCCTCCTTAATTACTGTGTATTTACATATTTTTCTTTATACATTAAAAATCTATGTTCATGGTTAGTGCAAATTTAAGTGACATGACTTTCTATTTCAATTTTTATTGCTGAACTCATTGTATATGCTTTCAGACTTTACATGATTCACATACCTTCTCGCGTTTATGCATGTTGTAATATATCCCTATTTTTATCCAAAAGTTGCTATTACTATTATTATTTACTTCATAGTTTTACTTATCATTTTCCGGTTGTCTCTCCGGACCTCTAGGGGGGGGCCGTGTTGAGTACGTAACAATGTGATTGTACACTTTTTGGTTACTTGTATAAATTCGAGATATTGTACATAATTTTTGTTTAAAACGCTTCTTGTTGAAATATACATAACTTCCGTGTACAATTGAAAAATACACTCTGCTGTTGGAGACTTCGTCTTCTCCCTGGTCACTTCTGCTTACTTGCTCCACTCACACCGTGTTGTATACTTCGGATTTATTGTAGGAGCCTACTACTCTCAACCGAAGACATTTCTACAACCGGAACACAGCAGCTACAGCAGACGCAGTCCAAACAATTAACGTGCCTGTGGATTATATAATTAATTTGTAGCCGAGGACTTAGACTTTATATACAAGTAATCCTTTTTGTTGCTATAACTCGTCACTGTATTTTTGGTAATATATTGTGATTTAACACTCCACTGACTTGGATTATTACTTTTATACTTGGAATGTTAGTGAACTCTAATATTAGTCCCCTACAAATCCCTATAACCAGATAAGGTTACATTGAAATCAAATGTAACAATCTTAATACCACCAATCATTCCTTTTGACCTTATTGGAATATAAAACTTCAGCAGCACTCGCACAACTGACCACAATTTTTTATCCCCTAATTCACAGGATCACCTCCATGTCTCCATCGGATGCACGACTCGTCATTTCCTACTTATCCCCCACTAGAGAGCCTGTCGAGCATGCAGTATCATCTGTAAGGCAATTAGGTGTGTATCCGATTCACCTCCATCTCCTTCTATGTATTTATTCAACAATAGGCTCTTGGCTGATACACTGCAACAGTTTCTTTTCAATTATCCTTTCCACTGAGTCATCAGACCTTCAATATACCAGGCAGCGGAAGCGTATGTTTAATGAAAGTTTGCATCAGGCTCTTGCAAATGTTTCTGTTGACATGAGAACCAAACCTGTAAACCATTTATAAGCAATGAATTGACATTATTTTTAAGAATTCTTATCATGTTTCTTCTACTGGGTGATTTCAGAGAAGTGGACGCCTGTCTTGCTTTCCTTATCCAGTCACAGCTGGTTCTGACGTCTTCATCTCTGTCGCCTGTAGGTAAAACAACGCTGACTGATGATCATTGACATTCGTTGTTGTTTTGGTTGAATAACTTCATGATCTCTGTTATCATTGCTTGATATCCTGTCATTACCGCCACCTTGTTGGTTTTCACTAATAAACCTGGAAGTCCGTGAGACAAACCTACTGTAGAATCCAGATCTTCTGGGGTCATTGAGCTGGTCTAATTTATCCCCATTTTAAATGCAACATTATATTGTGTATAAAGTGGATGTATAACTGAAATTTAAACAAGTAAGAATGAAGTGAACGACACTGAAAACAGATAACTGTCAGATGAATAACAAGTTTGTTTACTCCACTCAAAAGGCAGAAATAGAAGCAGTAATTAAAAAGTGTGTGAACTTCATCTCTATTCACAAGGCAAATGAGGATTCCATTCTAAAGGATGAATACAATGCTACATACTCGACTGGAAGCTTTCAGCCTGCCAGCTATGAGAATGCTGTAAATCAGATGACCTGCTTACTGACTTCTGTGGATTCTATCTTATTCACGAAGATACATCCTCAGTGTCGATTATGACTAACCACGGATGAAGTTCCAGCAATCCTACTTATTCAAATGGCAATTTATTTGTATCTGCATCACTTAAAGTCAAGCATAGAAGAAAATTATGTCCAGATATGCCTGACCGTATTCAGGTAGTTAACCCCGGATTCTAGTAGGAAGCCGTGTCCAGTAGGGTGCAGCAGGTCGGGTGTGACGACAGAGACTCGCCGAAAACATTGGCTAGTGGTCGCGCTATGTCATGAATTGGCAGGAGTTGGAATTTATGGGCTTGCCACTGGATCGGGTCCCAGAGAGTGGCTTAATGATCTACGAGCTAGCTCGCCTTGTAACCAGAAGATCCTTGGTTCAAACTACTGAAGAGTCCCGAACTAGGCTGAATAAACAGCTGGCCAGCACTCCCAGGGTTTCCAATGGTTCTCTAACCAATGTCAGCTCATGATGAAATCCTCCAACCAATCAAACGAAAATCCCTACAAAATCAATACTTGATAATTATGCATTTTGCTTAGAAAATTCCCTTCATAGTATATTTTCAGTGTAGCCTGTTTCATGCTGGAAATGTCAGATTAATTGACGTTTTTCCCATGCAATAGAACAGTTGTATTTACTAGGAGAACACGACACACCAAAATCCTTTACGGCTGGATGCAGTTAGCATCCAGGATATATATATAATCAGACACATTAATAAAAGTAAATGTCAATCATACTTCAAATTAGATAAGTAAATGAAAGACAAACTTGAGTAGTGAACGAGATAAATTCACTAATCATGATAACTGAGGAAAAAGAAAAGTAATCATATGACATTCAAACGTGAGTCCTATTGTAAAACAAAAACAAACGACAATATACCGCAGTCTGTGTAGAAACGGTATACATTAGGAGAAATCTGCACAGATTATCTTGCAGTCATCCTAAAATAAGGTGGTCACTCAGCTTAAAATTTTTCTTTAGTCAACATATCTATCTCCATCTGAGTGCTAATCCCAAAGATGGTTAGTGAGTAATTGAAACTAGGAACAAACAGAAAATAAGGTTGGATATGTGCATTTCTGAAGACCAAATAAACACAAATCTGCAAGGTATGATTCATTATAGTTATTCAACTAAAACATCATTATGTATTTAGATGTGGATAAAAATGTATAAATATTCTGAATTACCCATTTCCATGAATCTATTTGTATATCCACATCTGTCTCCTGATAACCGTGTAAAGGTATTTCCTGGATTCTTATGGGCCATTTACTTTGTTCTATCAGTTTGATTGTTCGCTCCAAGACATTCAGTGCTAGGGAAGTGTCGTTCAGATACTTTGGACGAGTGTGACGACTCATCAGAAAGTAATTTTCGTTGAGCATCAACTCGAATTCAATCGAGAATTCTGCATCATTATCCTAAAATAGGAATAGTTTTTTGGTTGAATTACTGTCATTCTATAAACATGTTAAAAACGAAGTAAAAGCCTAAAAACACAATTTTGCCATGTATTAAGTTCCACGCATACCTGGTGTTTCCATGGTGTATTTAGTCTGATCACTGTCACTTTAACTCGTTAACAGCTGCTCTAAATAGAAGTCCGGTTGGTTTTGAAGGATATTCAGTGTGTCATATATTCATTAAATAAATTAATATGAAACCTACCACTGCAGTGCCTAAGATGCACGCATATGTTACTTAACTAGCTCTCTAGTTTCTTAAATATATAGACACTGTCGTGAATTTCCTGTTTTGGTCTCAAATGAGAAATGATGTTATCAGCGACTCTATTTCAGGCACTAATTCAATATTAGAATGCCCACCACACCTGTACGTGGTCCGAGTTTCATCGCCTGCCAACTCACACTTCTAAACCTTGCCGAGTTTATCATGAGATAGTAAGCCTGGAAAAGTTGGAAGCTTTGGTGATCCTACACAGTGAAAATAAGATCACCGCTACTGAGACTTCAATCAGCTTAAAACCCATGTTCCACATGAGGAATACAGAAATCGAATTCTCGGGTTCACTTTTAAATACTGAGTATTTCAGCAAACTCTGAAAGTTACTTGAAAAAAATTGAATGTGTATAAGAACCGTAAGCCAGTAAACACATGAAACTTTACTGGTTTGTCCCAAAAGAAACAGTGTAGGTCTAGATTCGAATCTTGGTGGTTGAGTACTGCCGAAGAGTCCCAGACTAAGCTAAAACGATTGTCCAGTACCCTCTGATTATCCGACTGTCCTCCTAACTGACATCATGCCTAAATCAATCCTGTAGATAACCGAATCCCTGTAAACCAACATTTGACAACTTATGCCTAGTTCACTGTGTGTAATAACATCAGTAATAAAAATGAACGTTTGCACATGTTGCTGGTAAACTTCACTGTTCACTGAAATTCTTTTCTTATAAAAAGAAATAATTCTTCCTGCGACCAAATATATTTCAAAGTGATTCCTCATCGTTTACTGCCTTGTACTACATAAAAGACGATGTACTGTTGCTCGTTTTTTTAATTATTATTATTATTGAAAATGTGATGTAAATGTTTGTTTTGAAAATAACACTGACAGTGCAAACACCTTCAGAACTAGTTTCAGCATACATGTACGTGTTTGCATCTGTGTGAAAGGAAAAGGTGATTAATGACTTCTGTCAAACCCAGTAATTACACTATGACGGAGCGAATAAATATAATGATATATATATATATATATATATATATGAAATTGAGACAGACATTGTCTTGTAAATAAATTTTTGCATTCAATGAAATTGGGTGGTTATCAGCTGAATCCCAAAAATCAGTACAAATTAAAAAAAAGGAAATATATTGTGCCTAAAGGTAGAAAGCATGAATTTCGAAAAATATTGCTACTGCAAATTAAAATGAAGAGAGAGGTATAAAACATGACGGCCTACTAACACCGAAGATATTTCTGACTGTGGTTAACTGGATCATGCGGCACTCCTTAAGAACAGAGAAGACAGACATAAGTTATCTGACCACTTGGACGTCTGCATCTGAAACTTAAGTTCTTCAGTTTTTCAAAACATTTCACTCTTATGGACACGTATATTTACAACATCTAGATTAGCTTTTCAGACACATTTTTTTACAAGCTCAGTTATCAAGTTACCTCAGCCTCCTCCATATATATGCTCGACAACATCTTGTTCTATTCAGTCGAATTTAAGTTATCCTCTTAGAAATCTAGACCAAAGTGAGAATTTTTCCATTTAGAATAAGAAGTACGTAGAAAAACAATAACACCAGTTTACTTATTCACTGAAATCTGAACTTAAGTAATATGATTAGCGTTATACGACATTCGATTTTGGGCATGCATGATAACACTAATCCTTCAAAGAAGCTAGCCAGTAGTCGGTTGGTTTGAACTGATCGGGTACACAACCGATGAGCTCGACACCAAAAAAAAAGCGAAACGGTCGTCCGGTGTACATATCACTTCGATCGTCTCAATCAGACAGTAGGATAGTTTTATGTGATATTTTTGCCAAGTTATGTGTACAAACATTAGGCACACCTGAAAAGAAATTATGCAGAACGCCTTGTCCATCTGACAACAACTCAATATGATAAGAACAAGACATGTAAGCGAACAATATTGTTGTTTTCAATTAGACCTTCAGGCTTTAATTTACATAGATTTATATATAAAATGTTTTAACCAATGACGGTGATTTGGTGGATCAAATAATAATAATAATGTGGTAAATGTTTTGAACGTAGTTAATAACGATGATTTTAATGATAAAATATTGATAATAAGGTTTATGCAGGTGGCGATAAGAATAACAAAGGTAGTAATATTTAATTGGTGGATGGTGACTGGCAGTGGAATCCAGGATGCGCATTCCGTCCTATTTGGGCCCAAGTGGTCTAGTGGATAACGCTTTGGCATTTGAAACTATGGGTACTGGGTTCAAGCCTCGGTGGGAACATCATCACTCACTGAGAAATGCAGGTACATCCAGCTGACGAGTCCCAAATAGGACGGAATGCGCATCCTGGATTCCACTGCTAGCCACCATCCACCAATTGTATACAAATCAAATCCCCAGACATCGTCGAAGCATCTGCAGAAGAAGCCGATATGTCAACCTGAGACCGAGGACTTCGGTCCAATCAATCGACGGGAAAATCTCAAATTCAATAAAAAATAAAGGTAGTAATATGTGTATATGTAGACGATTCAATAAATAATTAGGTGGGAAGAGTGAAAGAAAGTGACTGTGTGTATGATCAGTGTCAACTTGTCTCACCACGCAAACATAAAATACTATATTATTTTGAACCACAGTGTGCCTAGGGTCAACCAATCCTAGTGAAGAGCGATAACATTTATGTTTTTACATTCTAATAGCGATCACCGCCCCCTCATTGTTCTCAAGTACATTTTTCCTTCCCTATGTGAAGCATTTGTCCCATACGGTAGCAAATTTATGACAGCTGACAAATACTCTCTAATCACGCATATGTCAGTCTCAGTAAAAACAGTGGCTTTGGGATTTTTATCTTCACTATACTTGACATTGGTTATTTTTTAAATCTTTTTAACGTTCTCCACCGCATGATTTCTTTTACGCAAATGACTCATACCCCTTTAAAATCACTGTTATTTAACTTGTGGGCTTTTATAGGGATTATTTACACTAAGTTCAGTAAACATTTTATCACGAACTAAAATCAGTTAGAGATTAGCAAAGAGATCTCTTCCCGCAAATTCACTTACAAGTGTTAGAGTTATTCAGTTGGTTTATATATGCACTATAGATTAACAGTACAGGTCAAAGGTTAAAGGCAGTTATTAACAAAATAAATCGGAGGGGATGAGTAAAAACTAAAAGAGATGAGAATCTAGCTTGTACGCCCTGAAGAATTTGGAATCCTTTAGAAACATTTCAATCAAAAATGGATATCCAGCCTTCTTCATCGTCAAGCATCTAAAGATAAAAGCCAGTCCTCCTCGAAACCTGGATGCGCCGAAAAAACAACTATTTGTAGATCTGGAATTCAAAAGAGATACAATTATTGTGGTTTTGAGAAGCTGTCTGTCCACAGCAAATGGAAGAACGTTCTTTGTTGCATCTCTACACCTCACGTTCACATACATGCTTTCGTTCACCAAAACATTAAAGACAAGATCCTACTGTTGACAACTTTAATGTACATTTACTAATTCACTTACTGCTGTGAAGCTAATTACATAGGCTGTACCAGCAGGACATTGTCTGGATGCTTCCATGAACACTCACAAGCATGGTTGTAAAAAATGGAACGTCTACCAGTCAGCAGCTCACTTCTGGAACATATTATTACTTCTGCTTATACATTATCAGCAGACACTTCTTTTAGAGTCATATATAAAGTACGACCAATTCGTTCGAAAAGATTACGCCTACATCTTTATGGAACCGAAGCCTTAGCAATCCATAAGGAGAAACCAGAACTTCAGGAATGTCTTATCCTGCCTTTTTAATTACCATGACCTTAGTGCTAATTCTTCTGTTTTCTTTTTTTTGTTTTCCTGAATAACTGTATAACAAGCCGTATGTAGTCCATTTTATATTTTCCTGACTCATTTTCAATCTCCCGTTACATTGTTACTAGCTGACCTCTGTTGTCAATCTACAGTACACATTTAAACCCCCTAAATAACTGGATAACTTTGAGGGGAAGTTATGGAAAGAGATCTTATCGCTGACTCATGTATTCTTAACTACAAGGAAATGGAAAGCTTTCATACATCTGAATTAGAGCCAATTGAAACAACCCAAGGGCATTGGACAGCTGTTTCATTCCAGTTCGAGCGAAAGTTGTAATTCGCTAGTCATTGAGATCAGCCCCAAGTTGCTGAGTGGTCAACAAACCTGTTGGTTCTGATTTCGCCCCATGGTGTGGTTTCCGACTCTGCTGAAACTTCAGATGGCAATCAGTTTCTTGACTGGTAATTCATTATCGACTAAAATATATTATTAAGATGTTTGCACAAAACTCACACATTTATTCGTACTATGTACATTCACTGTAAAGATGATGAAACATGTAGATATGGATGGAAGACTCTTTTAATCTCCCTTTTTTATCAGATTAATTACTATATGAAGATCTAAGGATTCTTTTAATTTCACAATTAACAAGTATCTGTTTAATTTGATAGTCTTTTTCGAAAACATCTAACTGCATCAGGCATCAGTATTCTCGTGTACACTGATTGTGGATTTTAATGTAACTGATATACTTTTCAATGTTGTTAGACATTTACAACATTGCATTTCATACTTAGCAATTCTTCCTACTTTTATGATCATTACTTAGCTAAACATCTGCAAATTGTTTTGCTGTAACAACAAATATTTCGAGGTGAACTGGGTGGGGGGGGTGAACTGGATACACGATGACGACGTCGTTCAGTGATCTCGTACTGCAGGCTGTCAGGTAGAATCTGAGTAGGGAATAAAATCTTACTGTCTATTGCATAGCCAGCTGAATAGGACTGTAGATGACAGAATGCACTGGAGATGCACCGCTGAAGCTGGCTGAGGAAAACCATTGGAGAAATAAAAGTGATACAGCAGGAGCATTAATTAGAAAGTTCCGTCGCAAAAAGAAACCTATGCATTTCTTTTCATTTTCATTGAATAAATATGTCTGTCAAACGGAAACTCACATTTATTTTTTCGATATCCGGTGCACCAATAAAATTAATAAAAGTGTTATTCAACCATCTAAATGTCTTCTCTTCATGCTTATTCGAATGAATGAGACTTGTCCAGTGTAAAAACTCCTTATCAGTATGTGTATGCTTCCTATCTTTTGGTACTACCAGTGACGGTGATGATGATGTAAAGCCTAACTGCAAGCTAACTGGACTCAGACCGGCTGTATTCAAAGCAAACATTCTAATCTGATAGATGTGCTTTGAAATCAACGATTCAATGTTAACACGATGTGTTGTCCTGTTCAAACTATAATATCCAGCATATTTTCTACTTTCATATTTTTGTGAATTGACCAAATCTGATGGGATTGAAGAAGCAAATGGTAGATACTTTAACTGATACAAAGGATTCTGTACATTTGATTTGTTATTATAATTATTCATGAAATTATTCTCCTGAAGCTTTGTATCCATACTGTATTCATTCTGGCTTGAATGCGCTCTCCTTGAAAAGAATACTTCCTGATCATGAATATGATCATTACTGGAGAACCAATCAACCTGCTTGACCTAAAATAAATTCAAACCAAATTATAGGTCATTTAATTAATAGAGCTTGTTGTTCTCTCAAAGTAGCTCAAATTCACTTTTGCACACACTATAATGAAATCTAATAGTTTTAATATAATATAACTTAGGTATTCAGGCATATCACAAAGTAACAACATTAAACCAATATTGGGATATTGACAACTGTTGGGAGCATATTTTGTGTTATCCTTTGTCTATCATCTACTTCAGGACTGAATATATCATAATAAATGAAGGAGAGTAATGAGGTGCATACTCTGATTTTGACCAAACCGAGCATCTTGTATTTCTAAAGCCTTGCTTCATTATTGTGCGAAATGTTCATCTGCTTAGGTAGATCACAAGACTAAATGATATTTGAATCAAACTGTATATTTATCTATCTAATTATTATATCCTAATGAATTGCCTCCTTTCATACTACAATTAAGAGAACAAACAAACAAACAAAAAACACCACCTGTATTAGGACAAAATAGTCTCTTGTAGGTTATATAAACTGGTCTGTTATTTTGGAAAGTTATTTATGTGTGTGTGTGTGTGGCAAGCGCTCAGTCTCAGTACACAAGGCTTATTCATTTTTACCCTATAAATGCTGCCCCTTTGTTTAATAAGTGAATAGAAAGCAGCATAGAAAATTATCACTGAGCGCATTGAACAGTGTCAATGCCTGCATGCAATGAATTCTGAAAGGAAGTTTACAATTTTTGGCCAATATCCTTAAATTAACTTGACTGTCCTGTTTATCTCGTATACTGAAGATTGAAATGTAACACTAATGGCATTTTAATGCATTGTTTATGCAGCAAAAACGGAAATTAAATGTTAAATAAATAAATGACATGAAGTACTTGTAGGGAAAAGCGTAAGTGTGATTAATCCCGGGAAAATTTGTATTAAATTTATCCAGGCTTGAAATTTGCAGTAAACATTTAAATTCCAGCCAATAAAGTACAATATACACTCACAAACTTCATCATAGAGTATATATATATGATCATAGCTGCATAAATGCAAAGTGATAATGTGATCTGAAGACCAAAGTTTTGATGTAAAACGAATTGGTGCCAGTCAAGGAGAGACGAAGAGAGAGATTCTTACCTGTTCACACCTACTCGGATTTTATTGTGGATATAATTTAGTTGCCCCTAGTTACATAGATAAATAGACAGATAATATCCTGTAAGAGAACAATAGTCATTATCTTTTAGATGTCTACAAATTCTTCTGTTCGGAATGATCTAATCAATTTTCAGCCTTTGAGATTTTCATCATTACTTAACCATTCATTTACAACTCATCCATAGTTATGTTTCCCATGTTTTAAGGATGCTCACATCCATGCTGCTATTTATTAGTCGACGTATTCATCACAGTTTGTATTGGGCATCATGCATTAAAAAAACTAGACAAAATTTACTTATCAACTTCTAAAGGCAGTATCGTAATGTATGCTAGCAAATCAAACGGTTATTTTTTAATGGTAGTACTGTAACAACAGAAGACAAGGGCCAGGAAACAGATCGTTTATTAAGGAAATCAACATATATTTATAGATTTTCATGTATATTATGATAGATTATTGTTAGCAGAAAAACACAGTCTTCTGATTGGCTGTTTCTCACAACGAGTTAACCTTGCATCTCTTTGTAGCTGTTTCTTGAATGTCAGATCATCTATGTGCTAACTGTATCCGCCTACTGAAAGTCATTGTTCTCATTTTTCTCACGACCAATATTGGGGAGATAAACATTGACGTAAATTACTGTCCACCAATTCTGGCTAACAGCCCGCTCTCACCACAGTAGTACCAGTCACTTAGTCATCAATTAAGCTAATCAAAGTGTACTTGTTATTTGGTGAATGGAGATTAGAAGCAGAATTCAGGAAGTGCATTCAATTGTGATTAGGGCTGGTCAGCTGGACGTACCCACCATTCCCACTGAGACTAGAATGCAGCACCTAGCATCTGGTGTTTGAAAAGATAGGTGATAGATCCGAGATTAATTCCATAACTGCTGTTAAGCCTAACTGACGACTAAATAATAACGCGTTAATCCTCAGACGTCGATGAAGTGTCTGTAAAAGAAGTCGAGACCGAACATTTCGATCGTACATAATCAGGAAATACAGAATTAAAGTGAACAAACAAAGAGCTGTTAGGTTACTAGAATTTCGCGTGTATCCAACAGTTATCTTTTGCGGAAAAGGTGCACATTTGAATATAAACAGCAATACAAAATGTCTAAATCATGCAGTGCAGTCGATTTTTATGATTGTGATATATATATATATATATATATATATCACATTCCAAGACATTCCAACTATGACGTTTCCTATTGACAAGAGTTACTTGAAGTTCTGTTTCACTCAGGACGCAAAGGAGTGAAAAATGGCTGACTAACTGCAGAGAAGTAGGGATAGGGATTCGAACAGTATACTTTTGGTTTACTTACCATTTCCTCTAACAAGTATGTATGTGGTTTTTAATGTCACCTAAATCACTAATGTTGTGGCGTGTGCTACTGACAAGACTTATGAGTAGTATATAAAGAGACATTCATCACAACAGAAATACCGAATAGCAGAGGGATAGGTCTGACACCAAAAAAGAGAGAAAATGAACCAGTTTTGCGGCAGAATATGGGAAACATGAAAAGAAGACAAAGAGGCACAATACGAAGGAGAGAAATGACACAAAATCGAAAATTTGTGCAAGTGGGAATTTTCATATAAGGTATACATTATTTCCCTGAATTTCTATCGAACTGTTGATAAACATTCCGCTACCAAGTCTTATGTCTTTTCTCGGTACACAACCAGCATACTGACTGTTGAATAGGTGGATCAAAGAATGAAACGTTAGTGGATCACACAGCGTAAACTTGTATGATCCCTTATGCTACTGAACTCTTTACATGAGTTGAAAACATCCCCTCTTTCAAATCATTAGAGTAGAATTGGACGAATATTTAATAATTTAGACATTGTGTTGCCAGCGTCTATTAGTGACTTCAATTTTGATATAGAAATGTCTGATTAAGTAATTCACCTACAATATTATATTATACATTCGGATAAACCAATGAACCAATGCTAATGAAATATATATATATATATATATATATATATATATATATACTTTTTCCCGAAAGACAAAAATATTATTATGCATTCTGCTGATTCTTTAGGCAGATTAGATGTTGTTAATTTTTATTCGTATCCTTCTCAGATAATTTATTATCTATAAGGTGGCAGAAGTGATAGGAGAATATCACTTCAAAATAAATGTATTCCATACAAATGCAACTATTATATGATAAAACGAACCTGTATTGCGTGTTTATTAATGAATGCACTATTCAACTTGACAGCCATTCATTCGGTGGTAAATCATTTTGCATTTGGGGTGAAAAAAACTGAAGAGACTGAAAATTCACCTAACAGGTTATTCAACTTTAGGTCTAGCAAATTCGTTAATAGGTATATGTGGGTTTACATATATCAGTATATATATATATATATATATATATATGAAACCTCTTAGATATGTGATCAGAATCGCTTAATATTTTGTTGCTGATGTTGTGTTCTTTAACTTCGATGGTTTAATTTATCGTCTTTCTAAATGACATACTAAGTACTTCGATGTGGAGTGACTTCTAACAATTCTTCATGAATGAAATAATTCTCTCTCTCTCTCTTTCTCACTTTGATACTTTTACTGTGAGAGTATATGCCCGCATAAGTGAATGTAACCACGGGAATCACCGCTAACAATCAAGGTTACCAGAAAAGGAAGATATGGAGAGAAAAGTATTTCATCGGTGATGAATTCTCAAAGCTCACACACTGAAAATAAGTATCAAGGAAGTTGTCTAGAAACGTAACAAATACAGTTAAAGCATTTTATTATGAGTGGACATCGGTTACAGAACCATTAGAAAACCAGTTGGGAGTAGTGGACAGCTGTGTTTCTCCGAGCTTGGGATTCCTCATCAGTACCTACCCCCTGGGGTTTGAACCCTGGACCTTCTGGTTACAAGGCGAGCTACCTTATATACCATTAAGGCACTGGGATCCAAGTCGTGACCACTAGGGTTCAGGAGGTTGGGCGTGAGGGCAAATACTAGCCGAAGACATTGGCTAGCGGTCACGCTATGTCATGCTCAGGGAGAAGTTGGAATTTAATGGGCTGGTCATTGGATCGGGTACGAATGGCTTAGTGGTCTTCGAGCTCGACATGTAACAAGAAGGTCCTGGGACTGAACCCCAATGGGTGCGCACTGATGAACATTCCGAAACTAGGTTGACGAAACAGCTGTCCAGTACTCCAGTACTGGTTTTTCAATGGTTCTGATGAAATCCTGCAACCAAACAATCAAATCCCTACAAACCAATACTTAAATACAGTTAAACCAATCCAGGTTAGAGTAGAGAACACTGAAAGTAACCACTTCAGCTACAGTTTTTTTTTCTCCATTATGGATTATCTCTTGATTTCGGCCCACAGCATTTGTATATTGTGTCGGTGAAAATAACAGTAAAACTATGAGAAATTTGATTTTTGAAATGTTGACCACTAAAAAAACACAATGAATTATAAACATATGTAAGTAACTGCAATAAAACTCAACCTGTGAACTTTTGAATTTTAGTCAATTTTCTCAAATATTTATGCAATCTTTTTTTCAGTCAGCAAAAATTATGAAAAAAAATCTTCATTCAGCTCCTCTTCAGAACATTAGTTAATACCGTACTTCCCAAATAAATTAACTGTAAGTTTTCTGCCTGAATGTCGTTCGTCAACAGTCTAATGAATGCTTCATTTTGGGAACTAAAAGTAAGCATTTGAATTTATTGGTAAGGGACATTAAAACCAGAGTTTATGACCGAACCTGCAACTCCTGTGTGTGTGTGTGTGTGTATGATTGGCAAGCATTCACCAGTAAACCATCGACTCACAGAAAAATTGATATATTTAATTATGTTTAAATGAACCACTAAATAAATGGACAATTTCAAAAGAAAAAACCTAACTAACCATAGGCAAATGATTCGACTGAAAAATTAACTTATGACTACTGCTCTATTGTAGTAATTGTCCTGAATGATTCATCCTCATAAAACTTATAAATCAAAATTGATAATTAGCATTTATAAAACGACAATTCGCTTTTTTTTCTGTTTTGCAAAGTTTACTTATTAAATAAAAATGAGACTGACCAATTCTCTTCTTAATATATACCTTTGCTTTCTGTTTACGTTCATTCAAATACCTCAATACTGTTTGTTGTTACTGGCTATGCTTTTGTTTACTTTCCACAAAGAATTATGTTGAAAATAATATCAATATTAAATAGTGTGGTGGCGAGACAAATGGTAGAAGTCAACCACTTTACTTTTACAAAAATAATACAGATGTCTATCTACTACTTCCGTGCATATGATGGTAAAGTGATAAATATATATTTTCGTCTGGTCGACCATCCGGTTGTTTTCCGCTTTTGTATCTATGCCCATATATATATATATATATATATATACGGATACTTTCAAGCTTGCTAAAATAAATAATAAATAATTTCGCATTCTACTTCGAAACTATTTTTGTTTTAATTGTTAGCAGTTTAGTATGCAAATTAGCACAACCAACTGTAGTAATATAGCTGTGTATCCTTTTCTGTGTTAAAAATTCACTTTTACTCTTCTTTTTCTTTTTCACCTGGAAAGCTGTGTGCGTGCAATGATGAATTCGAGAGATTGACTTATTGCAGAAAGTTGAATGTTTGTGTCGTAAGTTACAAAAAACCTACTACATCAAAATGATTTTCAACATTGAAGTTATTATTATTTTTCCCCTTGGGTTCCTAGTGGAACATACGGCTTCAACTACACCTCTCCACTTGCTTCTGTCTTCCTTCTGCTGTACTTTTCACCTCCATCCATGCATGTTAGTCCATACTCTTTCAACTCCTCTCCTCTTCACACGATCTCCTCCATGTCACCCTTGCACTGACATCCCCATTCGCCGCGTGCTTCCCTTTCGGCCTGGTTCCACTCGAGCAGTGGCCTGACACGCGCTCGATATCACCCAGCGGCGGCCTCCTCAGCGAGCGAGTTTCCAATCCATCTCCACTTCCTCCTGAATATTTGTTGGTTAGCGATTGGTTCTTGTTTTGTTTGTTTCTTCCCATAGTTTCTTGTTGGTGATTTTTTCCGGCCCGACCCGGCCCGGCCATCTGATCTTCAGTATACAGCCAGTGAAGACAGTTAGTTGTTGATAAAGGTCTGGTCTGCAACAGGCTGTTGGTGGAAATATTCTTTGTGAAAGCCAAGTTTCTGATCCGTTCCGTATAGAAGAACTGACTGACTTGACGCTGTTTGTATTGAAAATCCGACCGACGGAATTTTGTTGTTGCTGAGTGACGAAGATTGGTTTCCAGATTGGTTGTTTCAGGTTGATGAGTGAATGTATTTCTTGCTCGCCTTCCCGATTTTCACTCGATTTGACATCCTCGTCTGTTCCGACTTCCTGTAGTGGAGACAATGCTCGCTAGATAAGTGAGTGAATGAAGTGACCTCTTTCAAATTCCTCGCGTTGATGGTGATTGGCGCTGGATGTTTCTGCTGCTGTTGTTGTTGGTTGGTTGGTTGGTTATTTTCATAATGTCCGTCTTGTCTATGTTCACCTGGAGTCCTATCTTCGCCGGCAGCTTCTTTGACCAGTTTGTCGGTTTTCGCTTGTAAGTCTTACGACAAACTGGTCGGAAGTTAGTGCCCCTGTATGGTTTGAAGACTTGGCGCATTTCCAGATGCCTGCTGCAGGCTTTTACCAGCAGTTACCCTAGATACTTCAATGCTGAAGATCAGATTATCCGCCATTTGGGATAAGCAAGAGGGAACTGTGGCTGGCAGGAAATCCAGCTGAGAGTCTATCAACCGGATACATTTGCAGAAGAAAATGTTGGTGAATTGGGACATACTCTGAGAAGGTTAAAAGACATGACGTTCCATACCCTTAAGAGGAATCGCCTTTAACTGCAGAGCAACATAGACGTATCCGTAGATTTTATCCTCTCCATAATAAAAAGGCTTTAAATAGCTGTATCAAGGGGAGGAGCTCATCTTACAAAGCCTAATAAATAAAAAAATTACCTTAAATATATATCACATTCATAATGAACAGATATTGACAGGAATGTTATAGCTCAGGCAAGAAACTGGCCTTCTAAGACATATTTAAAGATAACTATTCTCAATGATAAAACGTTTGTGTTGGTGCCACCAAGTGGTATTGAGGAGAAATATGATGCCGAAAAGAATATTAATGGTGTTTACCTCAGTATAATGTAGCACATATTGTATTATCTGTCCATTGGGTTTCTCCGGTGCATCCCATTCTACAAAGAGACCATCACTGCCATCAGAGTTAACCATCAAGTTTGAGATTCGGGAAGGAACTGTAATGTGCATTTTCAAGAAAGTAAGAAAAGTGATTAACCAAACGATGAAATTCATTAAAAAACAACAGTGAACACTTGTGTCCTGTAACATGCAAAAAAAAGGATATCCCCATTAAATCATCTTTCAGGATTTTGAAACAGAATTCTTAGTAACCAACAAATTTTTCAGAAATGGTTCTTCAAACTGCTGTGGCTTACACGGCGAAACGTTCAGAAAAATCTTGTTTTGATTTTCTTAACACGCTGGGATTAATTTAAATAATTTATAATGAACCAATCTGACTCGGCGCTCAAATTATTCCAGGAAGTTTGTAACACCTACGGTCTGGAAACCTATAAGGTTCTTCAAACTGTTCTCTAGATATTCTGCTATTAGTACTGTAACACTTTGTATTACGCGAAACAGGCTTATCTAAAATATGTGGACTATATTACGACATAAAAAGAAACAATTTCACTAGATTATCCTCTCAGATAAAATAAAAAGGTTTCATTAAGGATGTTAATGTTTAAATGAATGTTTTCTGGTCACATCTAAGGATTTGCTTAACAATGTAGGAATTCTGATATAATAAGTAATTCAACACACTTATAAATGATAAATATATCTGTCGACTTGTCTGTCACGTTTATCAGCACAAACTGTGTTTTGCAGTTTTACAAGATAAATTTATACTGAATTAGTGTAAGTTCAGCTTTTGAAATTAAGGCTATATCTCTAATTGAACCTTATGAGGTCACGCAGGTAGTTAGACGATTATTAAAGTACACAAAGTTAAAGAAAGTAAACAAATCTCAATGTGGTCAAATGTCGATTGTAACCGCAAATATTTCTGAATGGAATTTATTACACCGCAAAAATAACAGTCAACATAGAGATTGAGTTCTTAATAAAGCAAACTAAGGAGCCATGGGCAGTTGTTTCTACTTGATTCGGGAAAGTTCTGACTAGTCAAGTATTGTGCTCATGAAACATTAGGTTAAGCGACAAGCTTGTTTATATGCAGCCTGCGGGTTGGAAACTAATAATACTCGCGTGCATAAGAGTAAGTAGTGGTGAAACTATATGCTAAATTTAAATCATAATTAACCAGATTAAAACCTATTAGTTGAATGACGACATGATTATCTCATATGCCAACGAGTCTTGAAGTAGTGAAATCATCAGAATCTTTCTGACCCAAAGATATTTGCACCGAAAAGTGCGAAAATCCCAACCTTGTGTTCTTCTTGTTAGTTGTTCGTAATTAATTCGATGTCACATCACAGAAACAATCAGTAATTCATTTAACCATACTCGGTTAATGGAACTTTTTAGTAATACTAGCTGTATGTAGGTATTGTAGCAGCAGAAGGCGAGACACAGAAGCCAAGGTATATTTTTCATCGATCGAGCCGCTGTTTATACATATACAGTTTATGTTCTTTACCCAATCACTGAGCGTGTGATTTCGGTTTACATTGAACGACATAAAATGGAATGATCAAACACACACAGTATTCTGTTGCTAACGCAGTAGCGAACTGTGGGAATATGTGAGAATAATATTCCGTTGGAACACAATTGTCCACATCACACCACCACAATATGTGTTGATATTGTCAATATTTTCAGAGTGATGGTGGCTTTCAGTAGCATCTAACACTCATCATTCCTCTCATTTAGAACAAATATTTTGCTTTAATTTTTTTACTATAACTTTATTCCACACAGTATTTTGGTATAATTATGGAAGCCTAAATTAAGCAGGCCAACCACTGATATCAGATGTGCATCGGCCGGGAATCAAAACCGCGGCCATGTGGATGGTCGGCGAGCATTCCAACAGCTGTGCTACAGACGCACATAGTGAGTTATTTAAAAAAGCTTCTGAAGTTATGAATATAGGCTAATGAAATATGATAGGGTGTGGATAAAATCCGTCCAAGCATCGCATTCATGACAGGTCTAACGATTTATTAAGGAAACCTAAACCACATGTCAAATCTCCAGGACTGATTAAACTTAAATTAACATGTCAAATGCATTTATAAAATAAAGCAGAGTTAACCATTATTCGAGACTCACCATCCTCATGTGTACGAAAAACTTCAGCCGGTCTACTGAATGGACCAATTCGATTTGTGTACACATACGCCATATGCATTTCATATAGAGTGTATGGACTAAGAGCCTTCAAGACTATTACAACATGATGACTAGCTTTCTGTCCACTTTTTCTTCGTACAAAAGAATAATTGCCGAATCTGTGCAGCTCATCACAATCAAATGTGTCAGTTTTTCCGCCACTGGTTAAGCTGACAACACTCTGAGGATCAGTGTGCCTACTGTGCCTAATACACTTTAAAGGTATAAATAACTGTGTATTCAAACAACCTGGTGGGTCAATGCAATTTAATTTGATCTAAAATTTTGGAGGGAGAATACAAGAGAGAAAACATCAGTTTACAAGCTTGTTAAAAATATGAAGTCGAAAAATAATAACTCTGTAACTATTGGACAATGTATAGAATTATGAAAAATGTTGGAAAACCAGAAACGGAAAATTGAAAAAATTATATATATGAGACACAATTAGTAGATTTTCAACCATAATGGGAGGAAAAGAGAAGTATGCATTTGTTATATAGCCAAAATGAAAAGCTACTCATGACGTTCTCACCAAAACACAACTTAAACAACTTCAAGTAACAATAGATTCTGTTGGAAGTATTTCACCTATTGAGTAGAGACGCATAGAAAATCTGAAAATAAGTTGACGATAAAAAATGATATGTGAATGACGGCTGAGTTGTAGTAAAAAAAACCAATTAACAGCTAAATTACTTATCGCACTGTGATTTTCAAATCCACTCCCAGCTAATCTGTAAAAAATTATAGTTATGCAATCTGAAGTGTTATGGCTACTTTCTCAGACATTAGAAATGCATTTTAAAAAAGCGGTTAAGGGAGATGAGAAAAATTTCCTAAAACTAAGATCGATAAATTTTATTTGATGGTGACTGGTAGTAGGAGATATAATTAGCGTCAGTCGGATGCGTCTGTATCCCGGTAAGCGGAGGTGTTTCAAATTCACCATCTATCGTTTCAAACACTATGATATTCTGCTCTAGATGAACATATTAGTCGGTATTCATGGAAATGTTTGAATTTCCCTGCTGGTTGATTTAGTTTGATGAAGACTCCAACAGAAAGAAAACATGATGATACATACTACTGACTGATTGGGATGAGTAACTGAACACTATTCACATCAAACAGTGGTGCTTGCTAGCCAGATCGAAGTAGTCTTGGCTCCAGATATCCGTTTCGCTCACTTGAGGTGGACCTAATCCATGGTGACTCAGCTCAGATAATCGAATTGCCTCAAGCTACCCAAATTGTAGGTAGCTGATTGAGCAAACTGATTATAAATTTGTCTCAAATTCGCGACTTGCACTTCACACATTTCGAAGTGAAATTTTGCATCACAGCTTTCTTTGGAAACCGAAGTTTTTCACTTCACCGTATGCCATCCTCTTTGATTGTGTAAATGACAATCAGGAAAGCAAGTATAAATGCATAATCTTGCGAAGATTAAATTACATCTACCGACCAACGAATAAGAACTTTCACTGGTTATCTTAACCGGTAACTCGTTCACTTTACGTTTGACGTTATTGAAACGGACGAATAATTAATTTTTATCAATGTAGCATCATGATCTGCATATAGATTCAATACAGTTATTCATACCATAATCTGTTTTATATTGGATGAGAGCTGCAAGCGAAGAACAATCACTATTAACCTTAAAGTTAAAAACTGTTGTTAGTGTATGCGAAATAAATCACAGAGAATGACGACAAACTGATCTTCAATTCATATTGTATTTCACCTCTACTGGAAGTCTCATTTAGGTGAACTGCCTACGATTTTAATGAGTCTTTGTAACTAATCCCTAGGTACACTGAGTGATACTGTTTACAAAAAGTCCTACTGTTTTCTCTTTGTTGGTCCCTTTCTCATAGAATACTTCTATTTTTATAAAGCCTATGCGCAATATCTAGGAGTAATTGAATAAAAATAGCAATATAACATAGTAGTTGAATAGGCACTACTTACTCTTTATATGATTTCGATTGTGAAATGTCCAAAAGTCTAGGATTAATAATGCTTAAATAATTAGCATATAAAGTACTTGGTGTGCATTTTGAAGCAACAAGTGAAAAAAGTAGAATTGTACTCACCAAAAAGCCTTCCACACACTGTTTAACATAGTCCTCTTCATTTGAATAATCACTGGAGAAAGATATCTCCACTTCATTAGTTTGATGGACGACAACTAACAAACGTGATGGTATCTTTACAAGTATTTGTTGAAGAGTTTTTATCTGCAGAACTTCAGAATATTTCCCACATCCATACTGATTACAAGCTGCAACCTAGGCAGAATGAAATGGAAGCGAGGGAGAGAGAGAGAGAGACAAACAGACAGAAAATAAAACACCCATTTTTTCGGCATTTAATAAAATGAAATTCTAAATATGTAATGAAAATAAAACACATTCGGTTATCACTGAAAATGTTGTCTAGCTGAATAGTAAATAAACCGTTCAGCTCAGAGAATATGGAAAGACCAAAAATAATGAGTCATTGAAAAGATACACTGTGGTTGCGAAAGAAAGTATTATGGCAATCTCAAATTGAATGATAACATAAAAGCCGAATCGATTATAAGCACAAAAACTTCACAAAAGGAATCTCTTCAATACCGAAAGTGTTATTTACTCTCATTACTTCAGCAGTATTTGATATTATAAGTGAATTAAAGGAAACATATGAAAAAGAATTTCGAAGGCAAACGCTTTCCTTCAGTGAATCGTGTTTTAGCTCAATAATTAGTGGTCTAACAGTCGTACACCCATTCATATTGTGTAATAAAACATACAATTAAATAATTTCACTTGTTAGCAATGTTATGCATTTAGATGTAACCTTACAAGCGAATATTTATAATTCTATCAGCATTTCACTTCACAAATCGAAGCAAAGCTAAAGATAGTTATTGCAGTAGAAAATCACTTAAAGTAATGCCTATCCTTTTTGCATTAAAGTACAGATAAATTATTGACACAAGGATAGAACTTGGACACCGTAGTAGAGTATAATTACATTATGGGACTTCTGAGACCCTACTTAGGAGATCCTCAATAAAGCAGGAATTACGGTTGTATTCAGACGTACAAACTCATTCAGAGACAAGCTCTATAGGCTGAAGGATCAAGCTGACCCAATTAAACACAATTAATATAATTTACAAAATACCTTGCAATGGCTGTGAGTTTGGTTAACTGCATACATCAAACTAGTAAATTGGGTGAAGTCAGATTATCAGAACATAAGAATTTGACTAAGTTTAGAATGACTGATCCCACGAATATAAGTAATTTAGAAAAAAAACTCAGGGATTGCACTGCGTGGATTAACACACAACCACACAATAAGAGAGTGTCCAAATTATAAAAAGTAATCTAGGTAGGTGGAGAGAGAGTGGTTGATTACTGAGTCCTTGTTCATCTAGTCTACACCCAACACATACAATAGAAGAGACTCAACACAAATACCAAAGATATGGAAGATATAATTACCACCAGTCAAATCAGAGGAGGATAATAAGTAATGTTAAAACTTATTTCAGTTCAGATTATAACACTCTAAAAAGTTATTTATTTTATTTTACTGACAACAAATCTTATTCCCCATCTAATTGAGTAACAACACTCGTCTTGTAACAAAAACAGGTAAGATACGGAAGCCAAGGTATATTTTTCACTAATCAAACCGCTGTTTATACATATACAGTTTAAATTCTCTAACCAATCACTGAGCGTGTGATTTCGGTTTATCGCAAACTACATGAAACAGAATGTTCAAATAAACATAGCATTCTGTTGCCAATGCAATAGTGAACTGTGGAAATAACATTCCGACTCTAACATCAAATAGAATGTTGAAGTAGATATATCGTATTCTACTGTTAATGCCGAATTGAACTTTGGGAATATGTGAGAATAACATTCTGTTGGCACACCTCCATAGTCTTATTTCTCATCCTATTATATTTTATTGATAACACAAATATTGTTTCCGAATGTATTTTGTCTTCCTTTCTATTTTACCCAAGTCTACTGAACTTTTATTGATATGTCTAATCAACTTTTAACTCATGTGTACAAACGAAGCAAGAAAGTTGTGTGACTACCTTGATAACATTATGAATAATAATTTGTGGTTGAAACATTATCATTAAATATTACTGTACAACACTCTGTGACTTTATCAAAATAAATTTTATCCAGAATGCTACAGTACAGATAAATTGCTTGTGTTGGCTGACAGAAATGGTTTTAACGAATGCAGATATGCTGAGATGCTCAGTCCAAGCAATAACTAATGAAAGTATATTCAAACAAGAGGGGAAATTCCGATCGCATATTAATTGGTGGATGGTGACTAGCAGTGGAATCCAGAGTGCACATTTCATCCTATTTGGGGACTCGTCAGTTGGATGTATCTGCATTGCGGAGTGAGTGATTATGTTCCCACCGAGGCTCGAACCCAGTGCCCACAGTTTCAAACGCCAGCACTTCGGTTCAGTCAATCGACGGGAAAATCTAAAAAATTCAGTTAAATAATAGATATGCATATTATTTTTCACAGTTTGAAATCAAGATACTTCAGATGGTGCTCAAATAAAAAATCCTCACCTTAAAATTATAATTAGTTGATGGTTTTAAACCGGTTATATTTTTTTGATTGATGAAATTATTAGCATCTGAGACTTTCTTCATTAGCAGTGAATCAGTTGCGTCAATCCAATAATACACCTGAAATGGGAAAGATAGTAATCCAACTTAGTAAACAATGCAAGCTCATTCATTGTCCACTCATATACAGGTAAGGGATTTGTAAGCTCTGTTTGACCAAAACCAAAGTATAGTTGTATCTGTATAAGGATAAAACTTCGGCACTGTGGTAGAGTATAATTTCACTATGGATAAAATTTATTTTGATAAGGTCACACACGTCAGCAATTAATTGTGCTCGAAACGTCATCAGTAAATAAATATTACTGTATAACAGTGTGACCTTGTCAAAATTAATTTTATCCATAATGCAATAGTTGTCTCGGTGTTGTGAACCTAGATGCATTACTTGAATGTGAAGTGTTTAGCAAACTTCATCTTCATTAAATTAGAAATATCTACTGGCATCAGGTAATGAAATCTACTCAGTAAAGGCTGACTTAGGAATCGACATGGATATTCTTCATCAATTTGATGAGGTTCAGTAACATATATTCAATTTAAAACCATAGATAAACTGCCACAGATTTATGATGTGAAGATCTAACGAAATTAGAATGCTGTTAACAGAGGTAATAATATCTACTTCAACATGTGCCCAGTAAGCATTTTAGTGAGTAAAAAGTATGCCTCTTCTTTGTCAGTCAAAAGCTGATTGAACGTATATAGAAATTCAAAAAGAAAACACCCAGCAGGTTATTAAGCGCAACATTGAATGTAACACCCTCGGATCTAGAGGCAATTTGACAGCTAAATTCATTCCTATACGCAATACCTAAAAAATGATTTTCAACAAATCAAGAGTCAGATCGTTTGTCTTCCATAAAGGAAATTCGTGACGGCTGAAAAATGGCAGACGAGCTAATCACACAAACACTATAATCAAGACATCTGTAGGTGACTGAACGAGAAGTCGCGATTTTTCCTTGTGATCACCAAGAGTAATTTTACTGGTAACTTAGCCAGACTTAAAAATGTCAGTATGTATAAGTAATCGTCGCAAATTCATGCATAATTATTTGGCATCAGCTTATTGTTATCATGAAATCTTTGGCTACATAAGCTGCCTTCCTAGATTCATATATAGTGCAAGAGTTCCATGTCCCAATACTTATTTTTGTTTTCAACGAAAGGAGACAAAATTTTCTAGCTGACTTTCCGAAGGCCTTCACAAGACTGCATCATTCCGTCTCTCCGATTCCAAACATAAATCTACACTTTTGAACCATCGTTTAAGTATTCATTGACTAAATTAACATAATAACATTTACACAAGGCATCGTATACAGAGGAGAAACTCTGTGACAAAATGCCATACATCTACTGGATAATATTTAACGTCGGATAAACTGCAACACATTTATAATCTCCCTGAAATATGGTTGTCTAGCAATGTACATATTTCGTTGTAAGCAAAATCACATTTCTACTTATGTTTTACTCCTGAGTAAATTACAAGAAAGTCGTTTACCGGTTTGAACAAAGCTGAAAAAAATGATTTCACTGCTTTTATCAACGTCATTATGTGCTGTAAGAAATCTGTTTGTTAACTGTTGATTTCAGTGGTACTAAGCTAACTAAATTAGTTATAAAGTCTAGTTACATAGCTAATATACATTTTTTGCCTTAAATAAAACTTCGCTTAGAAATTCTGTTTCCGTATCAGCGGCCTCTTGGAAGCTAGTGGTTTACCGATGCAGAACAAATCACCATACTTAGTAGATGTCGTAAAATTGCAACTCAAAAAAGAGGTAGTAACTGTCCTTGTACACCGATGACATATAAAAAGAGAAGTTTTCATTTGAAAATATATCACTTCGTTAAAACTAACAGTTTTCATATAATGGAATAACAAAGTTTAATTCATTTAAAATTTTCCATTATTACCGCTTCAAGCTTTTACTGAAGTATCCCTCAGCTGTGCGTTGGCGGCTTAGTGGTAGAATGTTCGCCAAACACCCATGTGGTCCAGGGTTCGATTCCCGACCGATGCACCTTTTTACCTCGCGGAGCCGATGATAAAAGCGGTAAAGAGGAAAATTTAGGCATGCGGCTAGGAACTTCACCCAGTAAAAATAAACATCCCTGCAAGTGAATCCTCAAAACTCTAGCTTCAAATCGCCCTATGTTCTCTTGGGAACGTGAAGAGATAAGAAAAAAAACTCCATCAACTTAATGGCTTTTAACATAGCGTAGTTTTTACATGTTGGTAAATTAACTTTCAGCCTTCACATTGTTGTTGAAGTCCGATAACTCACAAAAGAATTAGGGTAAATATTTCTACGTGTGTAGAAGCACTCAAGAACTTTTAGGTAACTTATAGAAAAATAGTAGAGATAAGACTAGTTTGCATGGAGGATTTAATCATGAGCTGACATCAGTTGTCTTAGACACTTAACCTTAGGTCAGTGAGTGTCTTGTCCCGTGGACAGAGAGCTTTACAGTATCATAGGGCTTTGTAGGCTAAGTGCAGCTTACATCCATGCACATGGAAAACCTGTTCTGAGTAACTAAGTCCAGATGACTTATAGAAATTAACAACCAAGGGGCTAGTAATCACTGCAAAAAAAAATTTTGACATAGTTTGAGTTAATAGCGCTTTAGAAAAGCAGAATAAAACGTCATGGAAAAGAGCACGATGTTGGCGTAAGAAGATCTCTGAAATAAGACATAAACAGAAGTGATTTAGTATTTTTTTATTTTTATTTTTTTTTATTTTTGATTACAGCTTGATTCCACACCGTATTTTTGGTACAAGTATGGAATTTTCAGCACGGATATCGGTAGCCCAAATTTCGCAGGCCGACCATAGATATCAGGTGTGCGTCGGCGTGGGCTCGAACCACGGACCATATGCATGGTCGGCGAGAGTCCTAACCACTGTGCTACCGACGCACAAAAAATAAAAAATAAAAAATAAAAAAAAATAAAAATAAGATCTCTGAAATAAGACATAAACAGAAGTGATTTAGTAATCATGGAGGAGGTCATCTAAACATATTAGTGCGGTAAATTACAATGAAAACATTAATAAAAGGTATTATTTAATATGAAATTCGATTGATATAAACATCATGTTAGGTTGTAAAAATTCAAACAGAATTTTCAGAGAAATAAAGTGAAGTTATCAGTGTTTATTCTACGCTTTTCTTTATTTTGGTAATGCTGCATACTACTGGCCCTATAATGGTACACAAATGACATCACACTGTCCTCGCCTTCCACTCCAGCAGAACTTAGAGTTTTCTCTGATTATTTTTGACTAAAAAAAAGTGTTGAGAAGGAGTGAACAATTGTATACTGAATGGCTAAGTACTAACTAATTTAATGACTTCCTTGATCTCCTTGACATCATTATTCGTCAAGAGAAATGCCTTGCTTGAATATGGAGTCAGACGCAGTCATCTGTACACGTTCGATCATCTACTGTGTTACTGGTAACATAAACGGTTAATTTGTGTGTTAAAAAAAAAGAGAAAAACCACGTAGAAGTGGAAGGAAGTCCAATAAAGCAGTGAGAGAATTACAGAAATTTAAAAGTTACATCCGTCTTAAATTAATATAATTGAAGTCTTACCTGATATTCTTTGATTGATGATAGTGAAACCTTATGCGAATGCAAAGTCACTACCCAAGTGATCTTTACAGATGTATCCGTCAGATTAACTAGATACAATTTCAAAGTTAATTCTTCCAATTCCTCTGAAAAATAAAGGACATAAATTAACCACTAGCCAGCAATACTTTAAAATAGTGAAGATTATTTGTAGATTGGGTGAGTGTTTCTAGTTTTGTTGTGTTCTCTGAATTGAGTGGCATAACTGCCACACTTTCATAGTCCTTCTGGATGACATTTCCAGAGCTTACTTCAGTGTCAGTTATCGGGAATTTCTTTACGAATGATAAACTGTCTGTCCTGATGACGTTGATTAAGTGACCTATAATTGTTTTTTAGATCTCATTTTATCACAATTGTGATCAGAATTTTAAATTCTGTAATCCCCAGATTTTCTGGAATTCCCTATCATCTACAGCATCATTGTGTATTATAAATTCTTAGTGTCTTCGGCACCATAAATTTGGTGAAAATACCCAATACAAGTTTGTAAGTTCTGAGCAATATATTGATAATAAGTAGTATAAACTAAGGATCGGACCTTCTAATCATACCATTCATAGAGATGTTTACTCATCAGTTATGCACTAGTGATTTACTGTTAGAATGCTTCCTAGACACGTGCAGGGGCTAAGTTCGATTCACTCCAAAACTTCTCCGACCTTATTTACCGATAATAAGCTCGGTAAAGAAGGAACATTAAAACAACATCACTACCAACAAATGAAGCTTCAACATCTAAGATTAAATCGGAACATAAAGAATGAAAAACAACTTATCGACTAGTTACCTTTAGATGCATATGATACTGAATGCATAACAGGATATGATTTTTCACTCCATCCAATAAAGTTAACTGCAGACAAACTGAAACAATACGAACCAGATGAAAATATGGTCGAGGTGTTTTTAATTGTGAAGAAGTAACGTTCGTCTGTTGTATTTTTAACAGTCTGATTTATTCCAATGGTACTGAAAAGTTCCCAGTCATATTTCCCGACCGTCTCACAATCTGAAGATGAAAGGCATGAAACATAAAGGGTAATTTACAAAAAAAATACATTTGCATAAAAAGTGAACTAAACCTTCATAATCAGAGTATAACAATGGTTTATATGGAAGAGGGATTTTCATACTATACTCTTCATCATAATCAGACCGTATTCGCCTAATTAAATAACTGCAGCAGAAGTAGTAGATACACTAGGAGCCGTTATATACTCTGTGAACATTACTGCTTTGGAAATGACCTAGATATGCCTACATTTGTCGACAGTTTTCCACTGCCAGTGCCCAATACTTCATTTGGCATGTTAAGAAATGAGCAACAAAAAATTACTTATGAAGTGAAGATCATTAATATGCCTGAAACTGTCCCTACAGAAGGATAAAAATCACCTCTCCTTTGGAAACAACGTGAGATGCTTTAAAAATATCCATTTTAGCTATCTGATGTGCTGCAATCAGACGACACAACTATACACCACATATAAAAGTGCGGTCAAGACTGTTACTCTTATGATATGTTATGACAATAGTTCGCCTATCATCTAACGACATTCACCAATGTAGAGCAAACTTCTACATGATCAGTCCAAAGACGGTTTTCTTCTGAATGATCCGGATGTTTATGAAAAGCTATTTAGTATTGGAATCGTTATCTCTACTTCATTTGAACTCATCTGTTCAACCTGTTAGTGCTGTGTTCCAAAATGATAAAAGTTTCAGTCTCAAGCCAATTTCACTGGTTTATAAACAACTTTTTTTACATTAAAATTTCTTGGGGAAACTTGGATAAGAAATGGCTACTAAATTGTTGTTCCCTTTTCAACTTTACTAATCTTTGCTGTTATTTTGAACTTCAATGTAACCTGTAAATTTTACCTGTTCTCACTTAGTATCGATTAACGCTTAATCATCATTCATATGATTACTATACATATGCAACCAAATTATTCTAAATAAGTAGCGCAGATACACATTATGCGTCGGTGGCACAGTGGTTAGGACTCTCGCCTACCATTCACATGGTCCGGGGTTCGAGCCCACGCCGACGCACACCTGATATCTATGGTCGGCCTGCGAATTTTGGGCTACCGATTTCCACGCTGAAAATTCCACACTTGTACCAAAAATACGGTGTGGAGTCAAGCTGTAATCAAAAAAAAAAATACGAATAAGATAAATTAGATCTTCGTATTGTTTTGTTGATATACTGCGGGATAATAAATCAAATCTAGGATTGAAAAAGTAAGTAAGATAGGCACTAATTACTCTGGTTTCGGTGTGCGAATCCGTAGTACTCAGAACAAGGAACAAGATTTAAATAACCAACACTTATGTCAGTTCAGGACTTGTATATAGGATTAAGAGATCCAGTGCTCACGTTACAGAAAACAACGGAGGTAGACCGCGCATAAGCTAAGGGGATACTTAAGTGACATCACACTCTGTTTGTGCCCTCGCATCGAAACTCGAATGGAAAGTCACAGATTTAGCATCTGTGAGTGACATGGCGAAGATTACTTAGAGTGAAAACGAGTGCATATGGGTAGTCATGGTGCCAGTTGAAAATGACTGCAGAAAAGTTGAAAAATTTACTCTGAGGCCATATGTTGCGCTTTAGATGCGAGGAATGAAAAATTATTATTATTACTATAAAAGCAAAAGCCAGCTGAAATCAGTTGCATCCAATTACATCAGAAGACACCAAAAGTTAAAATTTTCCTGAAAGACTGAAAAGTATCCGCATACTAAACATAAAGCCTAATCTCGCCCAGATTACATACATGTATATATATATATATATATATATATATATATATATATATATATATATATATATATATATATATATATATATATACATGTCAGGTAATCCAAATCCGGTTCACGAGTTCAAGTGACACCAGAAGAATTGGTTATTCTCCTTGAAGATGTTGTAGCAATGTGTTATAAAGATATGTGACATTAAAGCTCTGGAAATTTCTAGTTCTTCCCAATATTACTGAATTTCTCTACACTCCATAAGCTAGACTGAGATAGCTGAAATGTTACATTTTTGAATTTGAAGCCACCACAATTCAACTGAAATATAAAGTGACCTGTAAACATTGGATAACATCCAATAAAATTAAAACCGCCGATATCAGCAATCATGCGATGTTCGCCTTTCTAGATTGAAAAACACTTTATTTGGTTGGCTTACAGATAAGTGAGATACATACACACACATGTACCGAAATGCATTTGTCACAAGGGAGCAGACGCCTACAATAGTTCCATTACCAGGCATTTCCGTGATACGGGTCATGAAGAAGAAATCTAGAAATCACTTGAAAATTATCAATAGGCAGAAAAGCTCACTTCTCCTCAGGTTTGTCCAAGCAATCTCTATCAAACAACTGAAAGCCTATTTATGTTTTCAGAAAGAAGGCAGTTATCGGTCTTTCCTTGCCCTGGCAACTGGATGTCTTTGCTCTCTTTTTCATTTGATGATTACGTAATCTTTAGCCTTAACTTCATCCCCCTTCATATGGTGTATGTAATTCAGCTTGCCTCTAGTCTCAGTGATTTGAGTTGAAGTCAGTGCATTGTTATACAATTTATTAGCTATTCATCATTTCATGTACCTCTTATCTTTATTACGTAATACTCCTTTACCACTGTATGCATACATTTACTCTGTTTAAACTTGAACTTCCTGTGCGAAAACTATATAGGCGCAATTTTCTGAGCATCGAACACTCAGTTCAGAACTAACTGTCAACTGACATCGTCTAAAATTTGCAAGTATGTTAAAAGTTCTCCGCAAATGAACTTAATAATAATTTTATTTAGGCTGTAAGCAGCTGATGAAGGGCTAACTAAATAATAATAATAATTTGCTTTATTCCAATTAAATAAGTGATAGTGCCATATTATTCTGCAAAAGCTATTGCTTTTGCTCTATTCAAATGAGATACATTTCCTCAATGCCCTGTGAAACACGCTATCAAATTGTTGCCAACCAACTTGAAGTTCATACCTACAGTAGTTGCGATTTCCGCTAATTAAGATTCGAAGAGAAACTTATAATTTAGCAAAGTGGTGAAGTTTTCAAACAATACAGAATGACTACTTCTGTTTTTTTTTAGCCAAAGATAACGAGTTGATTGGCTTCATTTCTAATGTCTATTAATTCATCAAATTCCAAATGCGATAAGTGCTTTAAAACTATGCTTCTTCATTAGCGAGTTTTATCCATATATCTCCGCATTTGAAACCATTGTTATCCCTTGAGAGTGGAACCATAAAAAGTTCAACTCAGGACATAAATCTCTTTCTTGGGTACTCTTGTCCTCACTCACTCACTCTATTCATTTACAAAACAGAAAAACATAACTTCGGCTGATTGACTACCTGACTCATAAAGGGAATTATTCTTTATACCTGTCTGATGACTTCTTTTTATAGATGGATGTCAAACTGTCTGAAGGTTATTTATAACAAATAAGCGAATCTACCTATTAGACATTTAAATAAATTTTCCCAACAAAATATGTAAACAGAACTAATTGAGACATTGTTTATTAGTTCACTTAGAGAGAAAATTACTCACTGTATTTCGACAAGTGTAATTCTGTCGTTTATTGCAGTCATACTGTTCAACATCCGCTTATCTCACACAAAAAAGTATAATAGAAGCATTAAAGTCTGTTTCATCAACCTACAGTTTTGTTTTTGACGAGTGAACACTAATTTCCAACTGGTTTCATGTGCAACTTCTACGTAAAAAGCAACCAGTAAAACATCTGTTTCATCAATGCGGGAAGAATGCAGAAAGGAACAGAAACATCAAAAGACACTAAACAGTTACTTTGTACACACTTCTTTGTCTTCAGAATATATATATATATATATATATATAAATCTGCGTACAAAGAAGAATTCCAGAGATATTAGTTGGTAATTTTTACAAAAGAGACATTTCTAAAATCAAATGTAATCAAAAACAATTTGGAACATGTTGCAAATGTGTGTTTGCCTGGAATACTTTAAATACCGTTTCTAAAAATAATAAAATTGCAAAATATGGTTCATTTACTTATCGTGATAGACTTTTGCATTCGTTGAAAACTCAGACAAATCATGGAAGTGGTGACACTGGTGGAAATTTCTCATTTATAAAAAAATATCACAACTGTCGCATAAAGTAATAAAAAGTCGAGTGTGCATAGTTTTTGAATAGACGACGAACATCTTAAGATAAGTATCATTATTTTATGAGGAAGAAATTCTGAATAGGAAGAAGAAGAAAAATTGCCCTAACCAAAATCCTCGGTTTTATAACTTTCTTAGATCTTGTTTTTTTCCTTCCAAGAACGACGTGTGCTTAGCTGAGAAATAAGAAATAACACGAATAAGTTTACTTGTCCCTATGTGAAACTCTCACACTAGGTTAAACTAGTTGGTAAGACATGTGTAGTGCACGAATATTTCTTAAAACGACAATAATGCCACCCACAGAGAAGATAGAATCCTCATCAAGAACGGATCCGTATAAAGCTATTTTTGAATGAAAACTTGACTAGACAACTACTGGTAAGTTTTATAAAAGTCAAGCTCGTACCACAGCTTGAATTGCATTTACCAAGGTAATAGACTGTATTTAAGGGAACTTAAGTCAATGTAAAAACCTGGCGCGGAATCATGCTCCTGTCCACACCTAGCAAAGTACTAAGCTCCATCATCCTGGAGAGAATCAAACACGCCATATTGGATGAAAAACTTCGACCGGAACAAGCTGGATTCAGGAGAAACAAGTCATGTATTGATCAAATCGCCATACTACTGATCATCATTGAACAAAGCTTAGAATGACAGTCACCTCTCTATCTCAACTTCATCGACTTTGAAAAGGCCTTCGACAGCGTCGATCGAGAGGTCATTTGGCAACTACTTCGCTACTACAGGGTGCCACCGACAATAATACATCTCATCCAACACTTAGTTGCACGACAATGCTGCATGCCAAGTAATCCACAATGGGAAACTTACGAAAGCCTTCGAAGTGAGGACGGGAGTGAGACAAGGCTGTCTACTATCGCCAATGATCTTCCTGATTGCAATTGATTGGATAATGCGACAGACAACGGCAACCAACGAGAGAACAGACATTAAATGGACTCACACAAAAAAGTACTTGGAGGATACGGACTTCGCCGATAATGAAATATGTCTGATTTCCCACAAACTGGAAGATATGCAAGACAAAAGCAACGGGTTGGCAGAAGAAGCATCAACGATAGGACTTCTTTCAGGTGAACATAGATAAGACAGAGATAAGTGATGAAGAATCCTAGCCAACACCAACAGCAACAACAACAGACAACAATCAACCAGCATAAATGGGAGGAACCTGGAAGAAACAACCTCCTTCACCCACCAACCCACCCACCTACCTGGGAAGCATCGTTTCAACTACAGGCCGACGGAACTGACGAGGATATCAAAGCAGCAAGAACCGGAAAAGCACGACAAGCTTTCATTACTGTCAAGTCTGTGTGGAGGTCAACAGCACTCATCATCAAGAATAACATCAGGATTTTCAACCCCAATGTGAAGTCAGTCAGTGCTACTCACTATACGGATGGATCAGAGACTTGCACTGCGCGTCATAAAGAGCATCTCAAACAAACTTCAGACCTTCATCAACAGCTGTCTTCGCTCAATACTCCGCTCAAGATCAGATGGTCGGCTGGCCGGAAAAGATCAGCACTGGGGATCTCTGGGAGCGAACCAACCCGTCAGGAACCGATTGTGAAACAAATAGGCAGGAGGATGGATGGAGATGGATTGGCTGGCCATACGCTGAGGAAACCATCAAGTGACCTCACTAGACAAGCCATTGCTCAAGTGGAACCCGAAAGGGAAGCGGCGAGTTGGTCGTTAGTGCAATGGTGACTTGGAGGAGGTCATGTGAAAGCATGTGGGCAGACTTGGAGCGAGGTGAAAAAGTTGGCAGAAAACCGAAGGCAATGGAGACGCGCAGCTGAAGCCCTATGTTCCTCTGGGAACTAAAGGATATAATAATAATATAAGGCTCAAAGCTAAGCTAGTGGTTGCTTCATGTGTTATCCAGTTTTGATGAGACACATCGTGACTTTAAGTAGAATTTTGTCAACGACGAATTAATTAACAGTTATCTTATTGTGTTATTCATAGGAAAGTGGAACTGAGTTGTCTGTTACAAAGGAAGACAAGCGGAAAAAGAAAATAGTTGTGAGTTGGCTGTATTACTGCATGCCACTAACAGCCTAGAAGACTCTGATATACACCTTTATACATGGCTCTAACCAACACTCAAGGAAGGTGGTCTCCTAACTGTTGCAAACAATGAAGTGTCCAGTGTCGTTGATCGACTTTCCCACACCAACCCAACGCTGTATGCCTAACCCAGAAGATGCTATAAAACCACCAGGCTTTTATCCGTGTCATATCGATTATTTCCTAGACCTTAGTAACTAACCTCCAGGTTACATCAGTATGTCGGGTAATTTAAATGATTTTTTATGTTTACAGTAAGTTCCGAACTAATTCTCTTTTTATTTAATTTAACAGCCTACTGTGGAAATTTTCTTGCTAAAGAATTTTTCTATAGACTAAAAAATATATATATTGTACACTTAAATTTCTAAATATTGTTGTACTAGATATCCTGCAGAGAAAACTTCAAATAATGCTCCAAATCAAAAATTTACAAGACAGTAGCTAATACAAAAATTAACAATCGGTTTCCTTAGACAATTGTTCAGTCTATTCTTAAGTAAAATGTCCTTGTATGTTTATGAACAGTTTACTTCGTGAAAAAAAGGAGTGCTATTCTCTGCCTTTTTCTTTCCTCCTAAGCACATATTATGCCATAATCGGTACAGCCCGGAAACTTGATGACGGAAATAAACGTGTAGTTTTAAAATGACACAAAGCACTATTATATCTACTTGTCTCTAGTAGATTAGAGGGGGAGAAAATTCATTTATGATGTATTCACCACATGTCTATTATTTGTTGTTCAGCTTTACTAGTCGAGCTGAATTTAAATAAACAAACTGTCTTATTTTGCAGCACCTATAGAATTAATCACATCGGCGGAAAATTTAGATCTTTGATGATACTGGCAATAAAATGTAAATATTCTACTCTGTGAATCACTCACCTAAGTGAAATTAGAAAAGTGTTCACTGTTCTCTTACTTTGTTGTTACAGCCAAAAATGTTGTTGTTGTTGTTCTTAGGTTGTTGGAGGCTATCGGCTGAAAGCCTTTCGTGTTAGTTGCCACTCGTAAGCAAGGTGTATCTAATATCAACAATTCAAAATGCATGGTGATGATGAGCTACCAAGATTGGTGGCCACATTGCCAGCCTAGGTGATAGAATTCAGTCTGCAACAAACAAAGGACTAGACACACCACATTAGTTACTAGTGTCCAGTAAAAAATGTTGTGTTTTGAAGTGCATTTTTAAACTTCGCGTTTCTTACCCTTCAACAGTGAACTGGCGAAATAATACTAACAAGGCAACCTTCTCCAAAGTAATAATAGAGATTTCATCATGAGATGACATTGGTTAGAGAACAAGCATTGGAAAACCAGTTAGGAGTACTGGACAGCTGTTTCTTCAGCCTAGTTTGGGACTCTTCAGCAGTACGCACTCACCGGGGTTTGAACCAAGGATCTTCTGGTTACTAGGCGAGCTAGCTCGTAAATCATTAAGCCACTCTCTGGGACGCGATCCACTGTCTAACCCATTCCAACTTCTACCAATTCACGATATGGCACAACCGCTAGCCAATGTCTTCGGCGAATACTTGTTCTGACACTCGACCTGCTGCACTCTATTGGTCACGGCTTCCCACTGGAAACCCAGGTAACTACCTACGTGAATAGGGCCAGTCGCCAGTGAGCTTCTCATTGATATTCAAGTACTGGTTCGAACCCCGGTGAGTGCGTACTGTTGAAGAGTCCCAAACTAGGCTGAAGAAACAGCTGTCCAGTACTCCCAACTGGTTTTCCAATGTCAGCTCAAGATGAAATCCTGTAACCAATCAACCAAATCCCTACAAACCAATGCTTGAATAATAACAGAGTTTTAATAAATAAGTTGTTTCATCTGCTTGACTTATTCGATTTAAAACTTATTATAAGCTAACTTCTTCAGTACGGCATAGAACAAGTTCAATTAAGGCTTCTTTGAAAACGCCACAAGTGTGAAGAGACACACTTGATCATTATATAGTAAAAGGTAACTACTAACTTCGCTTTAGTTTAGTGTTCTATAATCTGTAATGTCTTTCACATGTCTTATATTTAAGTCGTCTGCATTGCACGGTTAAATTGTTTGCTGGTAATAACCGCGCATGCAACTCCAATATGATTTTAAAGAGGACGGAGTAAAAAAATTTAAGTAACGCATACATTTCGGAGTCAATAAATCTTGCAGTGTCACCGGGTTTTTTTTTGCTCTTTGCTTTTAGATTCACGTTTTTCTGGAATTTAAGTTTTAACATAATTATTTCACATGTTTGTTCATAGTAGTAGTAGTAGTAATAGTAGTAGTAGTAGTAGTAATAGTAGACATTCTGTTCGAAAACAAAAATTCACATGAAGCAGTTACATACACACTTTTATAAGTTCCAATTAAACTTACTTAATTCCTTAGAATTCGGATGAATAGGTAGTTTATGAATAAAAATTGCATAATGTGTAAGCTTCATTTGGTAAGTTGGTTGAGGCTGTCTCCATGACAGCTGAACTTCAGTGGCATTTCTGTTAGCATAGTTCTCGTGCGGAAGTTTATCCGAAATGGATAATTCGATTGGTTTTGCAGGAAGCGAAATCACCTAAATGGAATTTACAAGTAGATAAATAATATCACTGTGTAATCTGATACATTTTATGATTAATGGACAATATTTTGAAAGTTCACCAGTGTTTTTTTAGCGGAATATAAGCATCAACAATCTCAAACCATTGGTAAACTCGCCTCGGCGAAGAATTTCCAACCTAGTGGACTTCAAAAATCAAGAACAGCATTCTGAATAGAATAAGACTAGCAGCCATCACGGCTTAGAATTAAATGATTCGTAGTGCGATACTGTAAGCATCGTTGCAAATTTAGCAAGCAGAAAGAACTGAGAAACTCATAATTAATAAATGTGGATAGCCACAGCCTCTTAGTAGAGCTATCGTCTATCTTTGAGTACAACGTATGAAAACTCCTGTTCTTTCTACTAACCCTTGTAAGATTAATCCCATGAATTTAGTTTATCCCTACTATTGAAAACAATTCCGGAGTAACTAAGTAAATTTACACTAGCCAACATAATTTATGCTGTCGTCGGTTAGCGGTATTACCTGTCCCGAAAGAGAAACATATTCTGAAGTTGTATAATAGACAGAAATGCCCTAAACAGTAGCAGTCTCAATGAGTTATTTCTGAAAGAATAACTCCATTCAGTGGACTGTTCAGATGAATCGTAAAATATGGCTAATGCGCTCTGTTGGTGCTACAAAGTTGTCGCTACAGAGTTTAACTATGCGTGAATTTAAACTTTATTACAGTATGCAATAAGAAATTGAATTCCTTCGGCATCGGTATTAAGAAAAAGCTGCCCTTCTATAAACTGTAGAAATTTATTTTCGAAAATATACTCAAGCCTCTTAATAAATGGTTGTGAATAGTCACAATCGCCTTTAGGAAGTTGTACATCAGTCTAAAGGCGAAAGTTCCATTTACGGTGTGTTCGTCAAAGTTTATTAACACCAAGGAGAAAATGTTTATCTGTAAATCACAACGTCCTTAATGATTTCCCGATGTGTTGGTAGATGTAATTCTATAGTAATCTTCACTTGGTTAATCTGTCTATTGTCTATGGTTAATTTTATAGTGATAATAAAGATATGACTGGGCTGTTAACACTAAATCAGGTTAAACATAAGACGAGGTGTAGTTCAGTGACTATAAAACGATTACCTTTCTTACCTTTATTTCAGTTTTCAATGTATAATTTCCACCAGGTGATAAGATTTCACAAACATAAAATCCTTGGTGTGATATATGCACATTATTTACATGTAAAATTGAACCATATTCATTTAATCCAGTCGATTTTTTATTTCCATTTGAAAGTTCCCGGGAGAAATAAGTAATAACTGGGTCTATATTTACAGTATCAGGTGAATTCATGAAAGACTTGCTATTCGACCTAACTTTATTGTTGTGCAATTGTTTATCATTGTGCTTTCCACTTGTTGAAGCCTGATTATTGGATTCCTTTCTTCCATGAAACCAATTAATCTCTGCATGTGTGTGCTGGTCAACATAAAATGAACAGGTTATCGACAAACTTTGATTGGAAATAGCAGTCAGTGAACTGGGTAAATGATGTACAGGTACAGTACGAGCTGCATGTAATTGAAAGAGATAAGCAATAGAAACAAAATTATTCTTCATTAACTTATGTGGCAATAAATAAGGACACTAAAAGTTACAGGAATATTAATTTTTTCTATACGCCTTGCTGTGAGTCGGCGGTACAGTGGTAGAGTGCTTGCTGGCCATGCAGGTGGTTCGGGGTTCGATCACCGGCCGACTCACTCCTTTACCTCGCTAAGCTAGTAATAAGACTGGTAAAGAGGGAAGGTTAGAAATAAAGCTAACAACCCCACCCTGAAAGAATAATCACCAACACTACAGGAAATTTAAGTCTCTGGCTTAAAGCCTTATGTTCCACTAAGAACGTAAAGGAATAGAAAAATACATTTGCAGCTGCTGTATGAACGCTTGCATCATTTACAAGCAATGACAACACTTAAAATTGATACTGGGCTGCTGTCTTCTATAAAAAAATTACCCGATTCTGTATTCTGACTCATTGAACCCAGTGTAGATTCATGGAGTAAGGCTTCAGTGCAAACTGAAAGCTTCTAGTGATATAGAAGAAATACCTACATTTATCTTTAGTGAGTTACACACAGAGAGAAATATCTATTCCATTGTTAGGTGATTAAGGATGGTGCCATTTGATACATTTGGAAGATTATTGAAAGAGTAGTGCTTTCACTTCAAACTGACTCTAGATTCAAACTTAAAGCACCATTAGATCCATCACTTATGTTCTAATTCACGGTATTCTACACAATCAAGCTAATAACTGAAAAATACACAGTGCACATACTTAGTCGAAACTCGTTACCACTTTTACACTAAATGGAAATGAATATCTCATTTCTTAATGTCACTTGAGAAAGTTGGATCAAGGCTAACTAGCTGCGTCGGTGGCACAGTGGTTAGGACTCTCGCCGACCTTGCACTTGGTCCGAGGTTCGATCCCCTGCCGACGCATACCTGATATCTATGGTCGGCCTGCAAAATTTGGGCTACCAATATCCATGCTGAAAATTCCATATTTGTACCAAAAATGCAGTGTGGAATCAAGCTGTAATCAAAAATAAAAATACTTCTCAAGGGGAAGTGGCATTTAACCCTGGCGAGTATACAGTTTTATCAGTTAGGCGAACCGTCTTTCACGGTGTCTGGTAGCATAGAAGGATAAGTATTCACAAACTAAATTGGAATGCAACTCAACCATTTTGTCTGATAAAATATTCCAAGTCTAAAATTCATCACACTGACTCTCAAACATGAAATAAGTAGACGGTAGTACATTAAGCATACCATAAACACGGACATAAATGAAGGCTGTTTCATTCCCCAAGTAATTTCTTGCTTCACATTTATACCGACCGGTTGACTGATAATTGACATTGTTCATTTTAAGTTCATTATGACCATAAGGAACACATAAATTCGATATCTGCTGCATTTCTTTTTGACTGTTGTCATGCAGTTTTACAGTCATGTCGTTGACTGTGTATTTATTTTCATTATTCACTCCTTTGATTGCCTTATTTAATGATTTCGATGAATAGTTGAAGTATTTGTTAATTTCAAACCATTGTTGAACAGGCATCCATTCATTCTCCTTAGTTTCTGTAAAATAATTAAGAAATTTACTAGGCATTTACAAGATTTACAGTTTCAACGGCAGCAGCAGAATTTAAATTAATATGGTACTGATAAATAAAGAGTTTTATGGCCGTTCTAGATTGCCATTTTTTTTAACTGTAGTGACACTTTTATTGAAGCTAGTGGATTAACCAGCCAATGATAAAAAGTTCTAGTAAACGCTGACTTCGGTAAAGTCAAGCTTTTAAGTAAATATATTATAGAATATATGTAATATGTACTTAACCTTCTCAAAATTACTTTCCTTCAGAAAATCTTAAATTATGCACAACAAATAAGCAGGTAGCTCTCCGTAAGCTGAAACAGGTCTATAAATTAAGCGATTTAGCTGTCAGGAATGAATGAATTATGTACCAACAAAAAGAGGAAATGTATACAAAACATCTTTTAAAACCTGATGGGGGTGTAAACAGTTCAAGTAGGGATTTGATTGATTGATTACAGGATTTCATCATGAGATGACATTGGTTAGAGAACAAGCATTGGAAAACCAGTTAGGAGTACTGGACAGCTGTTTCTTCAGCCTAGTTTGGGACTCTTCAGCAGTACGCACTCACCGGGGTTTGAACCAAGGATCTTCTGGTTACTAGGCGAGCTAGCTCGTAAATCATTAAGCCACTCTCTGGGACGCGATCCACTGTCTAACCCATTCCAACTTCTACCAATTCACGATATGGCACAACCGCTAGCCAATGTCTTCGGCGAATATTTGTTCTGACAGTCGACCTGCTGCACTCTATTGGTCACGGCTTCCCACTGGAAACCCAGGTAACTACCTACGTGAATAGGGCCAGTCGCCAGTATTATGCGATTCCTTCACTGAACTTACACTTTTCTAAGACACTTCAGTATTCACAATCCAAGGTGATTACTATACAAATGAAATAGTTCACAAAACCTGTGAGAAATAAACTAAGTAATTTCGGTTACATAACGCTTTTATATAATTTAGCTGTCATTTGCGCACTTGGCGTTCTGATCAGAATACTGATTTGTGCATATACACCAAGAATTTAATTTTATAGAGCATCAGTTCAGTTTATCACTTAGAATTGAAGTTCAGGAATATTACAATATGTATTTTTCAAAATAATTAAAGAATATTGTCAAGTACGTAGTAAGAAAACAATATGCATGTTCACTTCAGTAGAACTTTCAAAAATTCCGGTAATCCAATGCAAGCCATAAATTATTATAACACAGAAGTCCTACTCATCACTTCTCCTTCTGATTATTCGTACACCCACCCAGAATATGTTTACCCCGTCAGCTAATGACCGCATATAACTGAAGCTGAGACAACTATAGCATTTAAGCACCGTTATATGTGAAGAACGGAAACGGTTACCTTCACCCCATCGGACCAACAGCAGTGACATTCCTGTAACGCCTAAATGCTTTAACATGCATGTCAAATATTAAATATTATACCCTAAAACATTTCACCTAGCAGAAATCTAGTGCATAAATATGAAAGAGAATTTGAAAGAGCCAACCATTATTACCTTCTGAAAATGGGCTAATGTGGTTCGATTAAATTAGGTAGGAAAAGAAAGCCATTACCTGTGCACAAATTGAAGTCGAAGAAAATAGATAATATGAAAATCTACTTGTTCCTGAGAATTCACATAGAATCGGTAGAATGCTTGAGTGAATCTAGACACAAGAAGTGACTTTTTCAGGCCTTCCTGGAGTTGGATGGTGTCATAGAATTTATGGAAAAAAAAATTACATAAGAAAGAACAAATATCCTGTGTATTCAAAAATAAAATTATAAAAAATATAATAAAAATTATTTTACTCACCTTTGTACCATTTAAATTCCGGTGTTGGTGCTCCGATAATAGGACAGACTAAAGTTGTTGATGAACCTTCCAGCACTGTGAAATTTGACACACTCGTTTCAGGAGTGCACAGCCTTGGAGCGAATGCTATTTTAAAATTCACATTCACACAGTATTTCGCACGTAGATAATGGTGATGAAAATGAAAAAGAAATAATCTGAATGTAAATCTCATATCAAATAGCCATGAAAACAAGAAGAGAATAACTTTTTGGATTTATATGATACCAATCACACTCTTCTTGAAAAAGCTCACAACGGAAAGGTGTTAATTTCACTATACAATTATTATGTTTGAAAACTTAGTGATTGAAGTATCATTCCATAAAATTAAAAGCTAACGGTTTCACCTGAAGTATTATTTTTGGAAGTGTTTAAATTGGCACTTAAAAGGTAGTGGAATATAGATGAGAGTAGACATTTTGTATGAGATAATTAAAACAAAAAAAGCTTATTAAATAGGAACATGTTCAAAGTTCCAGCTGAATGTACTAAAATTATGCCTTACAACATACTTCCAATTTAATACTCAAATATATGAGCAAATAAAGGGAACACCAATGGGATAGCCCATATCAGGATTAATAGCTGAATCCGTTATGCAAAGATTAGAATTAATAACTGTACCTATAACTAAACCGGAAATCTGGGTACGTTACGTTGATGATACATTTGTAATAATTAAGAGAAATGATTTAGAATATACCCATAAATTAATAAACAACATATTTGAAGACATCAAATTCACAAGAGAAGAAGAGTTAGATAACAAAATCCCATTTTTAGATGTCTTAATCAGGAGAACCAACACAGGAAGTTTAGAAACACAAGTATACAGAAAGTCAACGCACACAGATCAAATACTCAACTATACTAGCAACAATCCAATTACTCACAAAAGAAACTGTGTGCAGACATTGTTTAGAAGAATTCAAACACATTGTAGCACACCAGAGTTGAAAAGAATGGAAGAAAAATACTTACAAACGGTCTTCAAGAAGAATGGTTATCCAAAAAATTTCATCAAAAAGTGTTTAAAATCGAATGAAAGCACCAACAAAGAACCATCACCAAAGATCAAAAAGAAATTCATCCTACCATACATCAGAAACATCTCTGAAATAACGGCTAGAATAATGAAACCGTTTGATATAGATGTAGCACACAAACCAGCTGAATCGCTTAATTCGATCTTATGCAAACCAAAAGATCCGATAGAAAAGGGAGATAAAATTAACACCATTTACAACATAAATTGTGTGAACTGTAACAAGCATTACATCGGCTGTCGAAGTGGGCGTCCCCTTCGAATAAGAATCCAAGAACACAAGTCAGCCGTGAAAAGACATGAAATAAATTCTTTAGTATCAATGCATACAGACGATTATGGACATCAATTTGATTGGGGTAATGTCAAAATCTTAGACAGGGGAAACACCAAATGTGCCAGGGAATTCCTAGAAGCCTGCTACTCAAACGAAAATGCAATTGATAAACACGTTAATATAGATGAAATATACCAACTAATAAAAAGTAAATCAGGTGACCAGAAAGTTTAAAAACCCAAGTCAATAGAAAACGTTCAGTACATATGTAAAGATGGTTGGTCACCAGGAGACGCAATTGTATCATCATTCATGGAGATTTTAAATCATTTGACTTTATGCTAAATACTGCGCTGAAGATGTCGTCCAGAAAGACAACGAAAGCTCCGCGACTAAACCAAACAGCTCAGAGAACACTATTAATCGTGAATGTACTATAGCCAACTAACTGTTGTCTTCCTGACAGGTGAGATTTACCGATTTACTATAAATGGATATTGGTTTGGCTTTGCGTTACCTTGGTAACAGTTGACAGTTTTTAATACACTCAAAGAAATTCAGTATTTATTACAAAACAAAACATTTTTCCATAATAGATATGCTTATTTGTTGCAATTCACAGTGATGCAGTATCACACATATCGCATAAACTTATCCAATATGGAATTATATTCGAATACAGGTCTCAAGTTCTGCTCTTACATAAAAGAAATTTTTCCACTATAATTGTCTCTGTCAGTGGGTATAACAAAAACTTACCAAAGTGAATTTTACCCCAGGATACTGGATACCAGTTTTAAGTGAAAGGTTGACTGGTACAGTTTCTTCTAAAGTCACTGAAATTTTACAATTTAAGTATTGGGTAGTGAGTAACGAATTACACGTCTTATGTTTAACAATTTCGCTCAAAAAAAAACTGGAAAAAATGTCAGAGATTTGTTTTCTGTTGACGAAATGCGTTGGACTATGGTGACTGGATGCTACATAAACCATGGGAATTATATTTCCAGTGTTGTTTATAAAGGCTGAAGGCAATGAAATACTCCTGTGTGATTATACCCGACAACTAACTACAGCTTGGATTTTTCAATGTATATATGTAAGGGTTTTGATAATGTACTCCTCTTAATAGGCTGCACAGACCACAGACATCGTTCAGTCATACTGGGAACTCAGACTTCTTGTGCTATCTTTTTTGACGCCATATATTTTCTTTCTAATTCAATAAACACGCTTAAGCCAGTGCTTGTTTCATTGTGTATAGAGAGACTTTGTTGAAAAGCATATGCGCTATAGCATATGGCGTATAACTTTTTTTAGTCAGATTATTCTTGTCAATCATTTCATTGTACTAATACTGATATATATATATATATATATATATATATATATATAGTATTTCCCGCTTATACATATCTGTTGAACGCCTAATGTAATAAATTGTCGGTAAACAAACGCTCAGAGGCATTTATTTGTATGCGAACAAGATTATGACCACTGGAGACGAAAAGGAGTAGTGTGAAACCAAATATAAAAACAGATGAAAATGAGGGCTAACTGTTAATCAATGGTTTACTTAAATTTCATTTTGTAAATAATTCGACACAATATTTTCGAAAGGTCAGAATCCCTTCAGTAAATAAATATCTGCAGACTGAATGTATGGAATACACATGACACATATGGCAGATTAAAAAGTAATCATTTGAATTTCTACGCTTTTGTGGGTCTGTAGGGTTATATGCACAATAACTAACAATATTTATGGGATTTCAGTGTCACTGGAAACTTTACAGTCTATTATTTTAGTTTCGCTAACGCAATTATCTAAGAGTTTATAAAGTTGGCCGCCATTTCAATGTAATTCCATTGTTACTTTCACTGATTTAACTGTTTGAACCCAATTAACGCGGAGAGATCTGTCGGTATACCAAGATCTGAGCCATATTTGTCGTATTGGTATTGTACAGCCATACTGTATACTAACTGGTAGACTAGACTGAAGTAGGCAGGCGGGTTCTTGAACCTTGAACCTATTTGTTGTCGAATCGAGTTTTTTTAGCCAATGAAGCATATATAAGCCTTCTTATAGTTATTCTTTTGTGAAACACAAAACGTATATAGATTTAATGAATTTATGAATGAATGTTTAGATGCAGGAACGTTTTGAAGACTGTAGCAATTATTGTTTATGCTCCTATAAATTTCACACTTCCTTATTAAACATTCAATATTCCTACTGAATTTATTCTGAATTTCTAGGTGTTTTTATTTGACCGTATTATAATTGCAGTAGAAGTTCAAAACGTGTAATAGACATCGGTTTTGAACAACGATTCAGAGGTGGGATTTTCCGTATCCCATTAAACAGTTTGTCATTATCAAGGCTGGCTTATTGAGATGCACTCTGAACGTCCAGTTCACATTCAACGACACCGCCTACAGACAAAAGGATGGTATTGCATTGGGATCTCCGTTGGGTCCACTACTATCAGACTGCTTCGTGGCAAGCCTCAAGAGAGGTTCACTAAAGCCAAGCATTGACAATTTGCGACTGTATGAAAGATACGTGGACGATATTTTCATTATTTGTGACAACAACAATGACCCCAGTCTACTGCTGAAGATATTTAACTGTTGCCATCCAGCAATAAAATTCACTCTTGAAATGGAAAACGAGTCAAAAATTCCGTTTCTTGATGTAGAACTGACAAGAAGAGCTGGTAGGAGCCTAAGAAGATCAGTCTATAGAAAACCTACGTGGGATGGTCAACTAACAAGCTTATGTAGCTGGGTAACCATTCAGCAAAAGCGAAATTTAATTGAATCACTTGCCACCCGCATCCGACGCATCTGTAATCCCGACGTTCTGGAAACAGAATTAGATATTTTAAGAGAAATCTTCATCCAAAATGGATACCCCATAAGGTTTATCAACAAAAATATGAAACCGATAATTCGGAAAAACGAAATTTTAACTGCGCCTAAAAAGAAACTCTACATAAATTTGGATTTCAAGGGAGATTTAGCAAGCGATATTCTCAAGAGAAGAATCATATCATCTCTGAGAAGAACATTCTCTGCAGAAACGCTGAGAATAGTGTTCTATAGTCGCCCACTGATCTGCAGAAGCCTCAAGGACAAGATCCCGCATCTGACCACTTCTATGTGCATATATCAGTTCACCTGCTGCTGTGGAGCCAGATACATCTGTCGTTCGACGCGCACCCTGTCCAACAGGATTCAAGAACCTTATCCACCATGGTTGCGAAAAGGCGATAGCGGTGCAATAAGGAGTGCGATAATTCAACACTTGGTTAACACTGATCATTCCATTTCAACAAACGCCTCCTTCAAAGTAATCTACAGAGTCAAGAATAACCTATCTAAGGCAATACGATTTCGTCTTTTTTGTATCACTGAAGCTCTGGCAATTCACATAGAAAAACCGGAGCTGTGCATTCAAAAGAAGATTACTCAACCACTTTTACTCTCATGGTAACAATGTTTTGATTTGTTTTGAGTTTTTATTTTTATTTTGATGACTTAATTTTGTTTCTTTGCGTGTTCTTTAACTGCCTATAATTCTTGTATTTATTTAGATCTCTTACAAAATTTCGTATTATCTACTTTGTTCCTATGTGCATCCTGAATAAAACTCACTCATCAAAATATTCATATTATTATTACATAACTTCTTTTAACAACTGTTTGTGACAACTCATCACCTTCGTTGCTACCCCAGTTTCATTGACACTTAATTTTCTTGACTTGTATTACCAATCTTCACCTATTTAGTTAAAATAACCATAACCAGTTGTAATTTTGTTTGACAAACTTAATGTACACATACATACGTACATACAAAACAACACATGTATATATTTGCGATTGTACAGCTAAGAAAATGAATTCGTCGACGAAAAGAGACTCTTCGCTGAACTACGTGTTTTCTTTTCACTTATTCTCACTATTAGTAAACTAGAAGTAATTGAATTGTGAAAATTACAAGCCAGCTCACTGATATACCTTTGCTTTGATTCGATAGACATATCTTCTCCATCATCTCAAAAGCTAAAATATATATTAAACTAATATAATGATATTTGACAATTTAAATTATGACCCTATTGCAAAATAGAGGAGTGTGGAAATCACCCTGAATAACTGATAGTACTATTAATTCACCTTAGAAACCTGTAAGATACTGGAATATAAAGACACTGAATTTTTCACATGATACAGAATTTGAACTAACTATTAGGCGTAATGCAGACTATATCCCATAACACGATGCTATCCAGACAGAAATGCCAGAAATACACGTACTCCAAACGGTCTTTTGAATCACTGCTCAGATTACAGTTTTCCCTCAACCAATCTTGATAGAATGAACATGTTCTCTGAGAACTTTTAATCTATTGCTTTTTATAAAAATTGTAAATAAGTAGTGAATCAACAATTATTACTCTTATTTAACACAGTGTTTTGGAGAGAGAGAAAAAAAGACTTAAACAGAAGCCACTCAATGATCACGGAAAACACCTTATAATCGGAAATCACGCAACAGTATTTGTAAGAAAATTCACCGAGCAAGATAATATTCAACCTGTTCATCTTCGTTACTGGTTTTGTCTCAAGTTCATCATCATTTTTGTATGGGAAAAATAGAATGATCAGAATCAGAGAATACGCATGAACAAACCTGAAGCCATTTTTATTTTTGTCTGTTATAAATCGCACTAGTTATAATTCTGAATAAGACAATAATATGAGACAAAGAAAGGAATATGAAGTGAATATCACCCATCAGAGCTATGAATACTTTCTACTGGTTACCGAAGCTAGATGATTTTTATTTATTTTTTATTTATTTTTGATTACAGCTTGATTCCACACTGTATTTTTGGTACAAGTATGGAATTTTCAGCATGGATATCGGTAGCCCAAATTTTGCAGGCCAACCATAGATATGAGGTTTGTGTCGGCAGGGGATCGGACCATGTGCATGGTCTGCGACAGTCCTAATCACTGTGCCACCGACGTGCACGAAGTGCCTATGTGGTCCACTGGAACACCACTCATCCTACTGACAGTCTTCAGCATTCTACGAATTGTGACATAGTCGTTTTAAGCAAACCAGAAAAGAATGAGAATACGGAATATTGTTTATCTGCTTACCACCAGTGATTTCCTTAAATAGGTTCCACATAATATAAGCATTTTTGCAGGATATTAGTTTCTGGTTATATGTTACATTCAACCTCTGCATTTGTGAATGTAAAGGGTGAACAATGAAGGAGAATAGGTAGGATGCAAGAGTTTATGAACTGTAAGAGGAGGGGTTGAGTTGTACCCGAGTGCCTCAACTTCATAATGTAAAATGTCAGGCGGAATATTTTACTGGAGATCGCTTAGACATGGGAAGACCAGGAGAGATCAGAAGAGAGAATAAGTCCAAGATACTTGATTTCTGATTTAATTCCTATATTATTTTCGTCAATCTTACAACTATCATGAGAATCGACGACTTCTTTTAATTGCCTTTTACATCTTAAGTTGAATGAATGAAATCTATCCGAGTGGAATTAAATATTAAAAATTACTGAAGATGTGGCCTAAATATAATGAATGTCTTACTGTGAGTTAGATAAACATTCTGGTTTCTTAGTAGTGAAACTATGTGGGACAGCTTTGAATTTGAAAGCTGCAACCTATATATATATATATATATATATATATATATATATTGGGTGATGATTAGGGGGGAAGTGAAAGTTTGGGTTAGGCAAAATTAGAATCTTTATCCTGATGACATATCAGTTGTAACGTGTAGTTGATAGTTGGTAGAGAGCCAAAAACAGTCAGATGGAGGCCGAGGATTCAAATTCCACCCGATGCAGATCTCCATCTCATGTTCAACCTCAACTGTCTACATCATCAATTTATATTGATAAAAAATGACAAAAAAGATACTGATTATTTATGTATTTGCTCATATTCACTGACACTTATTTTTCAACGACAGCTTAAAATAAGTCAAAGCGCGTATCGACAGATAAAATAAACTTACAAGTGACTTTCAACCAGATATTGAGGAAATCTTCGCCAGCACTATTATAGGCATAACACTGAAAGATACCAGCATCCGTTAATTTCAAGCTTTGAATTGTCAAAGTGTTATTCGTATGAATGTAGTATCTGAAGGAAGGAGAATAAAACGAAATGTTGTTGTCAATAGAATGGACTAACTTTTGTACACTGACTTTTTTATTTGACAGAGTAATAAAAATTACTAATATAAAACTTGACCGAAAAAAGACAGAGCATGTGACTTATTTTTCAAGTTCAATAATTTACTTCGGGTGCGTCGGTGGCACAACGGTTAGGACGCTCGCCGACCATGCATACTGTCCGGGGTTCGATACCCGACCAACGCCCTTCTTCACCTCGCTAAGCCATAAATAATGCTGGTAGAGAGGAAAAGTTGGGCATGAGGCTAGCAACCCCATCCTGTGAAAATAAACAATGCTACAGAAACTTCAAGCCACTAGCTTGAAGCCCAAAGTTCCGCTGAGGAAAGTGAAGGAAAAATTATTATTATTAAATCCTTTAATTCCCAGAGGAAAATAGGGCTTCAGCTGCGCGTCTCCATTGCCTTCGGTTTTCTGCCAACTTTTTCACCTCGCTCCAAGTCTGCCCACATGCTTTTATCTCCTCTTCACATGATCTCCTCCAAGTCACCCTCACGTTGACGACCAACTCGCCGCCTCCCTTTCGGGTTCCACTTGAGCAATGGCTTGTCTAGTGAGATCACTTGGTGGTTTCCTCAGCGTATGGCCAGCCAATCCATCTCCATTTCTTCCTGCCTATTTGTTTCACAATCAGTTCCTGATTGGTTCGCTCCCAGAGATCCCCATTGCTGATCTTTTCTGGCCAGCCGGCCATCTGATCTTGAGGAGTATTGAGCGAAGACAGCTGTTGATGAAGGTCTGAAGTTTGTTTGAGATGCTCTTTATGACGCGCAGTGAAAGTCTCCGATCCATCCGTATACTGAGTAGCACTGACTGACTTCACATTGGAGTTGAAAATCCGGATGTTATTCTTGATGATGAGTGCTGTTGACCTCCACACAGACTTGACAGTAATGAAAGCTTGTCTTGCTTTTCCGATTCTTGCTTTGATATCCTCGTCAGTTCCGCTTGTAGTTGAGACGATGCTTCCCAGGTAGGTGAAGGAGGCTGTTTCTTTCAGGTTCCTCCCATTTATGCTTATTGTGGTCTGTTGGTGTTGTTGATGTTGGCTAGGAATCTTCATTATCTCTGTTTTATCTATGTTCACGTGAAGTCCTATCTTTGATGCTTCTTCTGCCAGCTTGTTACTTTTCACTTGCATATCTTCCAGTTTGTGGGAAATCAGACATATTTCATTATCGGCGAAGTCCAGATCCTCCAAGTCTTTTTTGTGTGAGTCCATTTTATGCCTGTCTCCTCATTGCCCGCCACTGTCTATCGCATTATCCAATCTACTGCAATCAGGAAGGTCATTGGCGATAGAAGACAGCCTTGTCTCACTCCCGTCCTCACTTCGAAGGCTTTCGTAAGTTTCCCATTGTGGATTACTTGGCATGCAGCATTGTCGTGCAACTAAGTGTTGGATGAGATGTATTATTGTCGATGGGACCCTGTAGTACCGAAGTAGTTGCCAAATGACCTCTCGATCGACGCTGTCAAAGGCCTTTTCAAAGTCGATGAAGTTGAGATAGAGAGGTGACTGTCATTTCAAGCTTTGTTCAATGGTGATCCGTAGTATGGCGATTTGATCAATACATGACTTGTTTCTCCTGAATCCAGCTTGTTCCGGTCGAAGTTTTTCATCCATATGGCGTGTTTGATTCTCTCCAGGATGATGGAGCTTAGTATTTTGCTAGGTGTGGACAGGAGCATGATTCCGCGCCAGTTTTTACATTGACTTAAGTCTCCTTTCTTTGGTAGTTTGAATAAATATCCGTTCTTCCAATCCTCGGGTACTTTGCCCTTCTTCCAAACCTTCTCCAGAAATGGAGTCATCAAGTCCGCTGTTGTCTCTGGGTCCATTTTCAATGCTTCTGCAGGGATTCTATCTGATCCTGCTGCTTTTCCAGCTTTTAGCATCTTGATTGCATTCATGACTTCTTATTTCGTCGGGGGGTCAATGTTCACTGGTAGTTGTGCTTCCGTTGTTGGTATTGTTGGGCGCGTTGTAGGTGGGGGTCAATTTAGAAGTCTTTTGAAGTGTTCAGCTCAGTGTTTTCTTTGCTCCACTTCTTCGGTGATTGACTTTCCATTGTCGTCCTTTATTGGCTTAATCTGTGTCTAACTTTTTCCCGATAGGTGGCTAGTTGTTTGTTGGAGTGTGGCGAGGTCTCCTTTGCCTGCAGCTTGTTCTGCTTCGTTTGCCATGGTTTCATAATATTTTCTTTTGTCTTCCCTGGCACTCTTCTTCACTCTTTTGTTCAGTGTATTGTAGCTTGCATTCAAGTCCTGTTTTTGTTGTTCGTTGGTGCACTGGATAATCTTTTGTTTCACTGTCCTTCTCTCTTCTATTAGTTTCCAAGTGTCCGTAGTGAGCCACTGTTTGTCCTGCCTCTTCTTTCTGCCTAGAACTTCCATGCAGGTTTGACTCCACACCATTTTCAAGTTGTCCCAGTGCTTTTCGACGCCGACCTGTTTGCTAGTGTTGATTTGTGTCTCAGCTTTGTCTTTTATGTTCGCAATGAAGATGTCCTTTGTATCTTGGTCCTTCAGTTTTTGTGTGTTGAACTTCGCTTGTGGTCTATCTGCAGCTCCTGATTCCCTGAAAGCTTTTAATTTGATTTGGATTGTCCCTTGTACGAGATAGTGGTCTGAGACAACGTCTGCTGCTCTTCTTACTTTTGTGTCCAGTAGGCTGCGCCTCTACTTCCTTCAGATTGAGATGAAGTCAATTTGGTTTTTGGTTTGCCCATCTGGTGACAGCCATGTAGCCTTGTGGATATCTTTGTGTTTGTATATACGCTGCCACCAATGCCTAGTTCGTTGAAGGCGCAGAAGTCGGCGAAGAGTTCTCCATTTTCATTCATTTCTCCCAAAGCTTCTCTACCCATGATGAGTTCCCTTCCTGTGTTGTCTGGCCCCAGTTTGGCGTTCATGTCTTCCATTAGTATTTTAATGTCACCAGCTGGAGTATTGTCCATTGCTGCCTGTAGTTGTCTGTAGAGTCCTTCTTTCTTTTCGAGGTCTGCGTTGTTTGTGGGTGCATAACATTGTATAATTGTCACTTTCCTTCCTTTGGAGTTGAATCTGGCTGTCATTATCCTGGGCGAATGAAAAATTATTACTATTAATTAATTTTGATTCTGAGGATAATCAAGAATCTTATGTCTACTAAGACATATTTTAGGAAATCGGCCTTCTTACGCCGATGAAAAATATAATTATTCGTGTACAATGATCCACAGACTATATTTTATTAATGTAGACAGTCAAGAAGTTTGAGCTAGCGCAATACAAGTAGGCCAGTTGCCAGAAACTTAGTTATGCTTCACAAATACCAAATTAACGATTATACAGAGCAAGCGACTGCAGTTGTGTGTACGATGAATATGGCATTTTGATAGAGAAATAAAGACCAAATTTGCAGCATTTCAGAGGTGGTGTTCATTCTTTACTTTTTATTTAACTGCAACCTAATTTTTCTTAAATTTACTAAGTTAGTTTTGTTTCATCTTAATCCAATGTTGACTTGTAAAGCCATTAAATAAATTAAAAATTTCAGGTGTATACACTCCAAGTACACTGCTTCATATCTTCACTTTTTTTCTAAAAATCTTAATCAGTTTAGGTTCATAAATAAATATATATCGTTTTTGTTTTTGCTTTTGATGTGAATTTATATTTTCAAATGAACTGTTAACTGATATTTTGTTTTTTAACATGAAATTCAAGCCTCGCAAACAGATTGTGTAGACTCATAATATAAACCGTCTGAAGTTAGTCAGCTAAAACAACTAATGTCCTTTATCCTCAGAAAAGATATTATTATTATTATTATTATTAATTCCTTCACGTTCCGAGTCGAACACAGGGCTTCAAGCTAGAGGCTTGAAGTTTTTGTAGTAGTGTTTATTTTTACAGGATGGGGTTGTTAGCCTCATGCCCAACCTTACTTCTTTACTAGCTTTATTTCTGGCTTAGCGACGGGGGGGGGGTAAAGGAGTGCATTGGCTGCAGATCGAACGCCGGACCATATACATGGTCGGCTAGTGTCCTAGCCGCTGTGCCACCGACTCACAAAAAGGATGTTTATATATATGTATATATTAATATCCCCTTTAAACTGGCATTCAATAATAATAATAATAATAATAAAAGCTTTATTGTAAACAGAACGTTTGGTATAAATATGTTAATGTCAGACTATAATGCAATAATGCATCTAATTTTCTCGTTACACGGGTAATAATTAAAATAGGGCATTTAAACTAATAATATTGCTCAAAAAGAAACATGGGAAAAATTGAATCAAGCGGAAATATTAGCGACAATGTAACAGCGAGAATGAAAAAAGTGCCGTTTATTTAGAGTTCCCCAATAAGTTGGTAATTTCCTGTTTTACACTTTTCTCATCACATAAAATGTGTGCTAAATAAGGGGTCGTAGAATGTTTGCAGTTAGTCGTTCAAACACACAGTCTTCTATATTTACTCTTAGTTCTACTTGATGAGATGCAACGAAAGAGTTGTGAAGAAAGAGAATGTTCTGAGTCTGACAAGATAATGTGTGCTAATTTCTTGCAGGAGTTTATACGCCTATCTATAATTGCATTAACGAGTTGGTTTAGCAACACCCCATTCGTCCTACTGATGGCTTTTAATGTCCTGTGTAGCATAACAAAGTCTTTCTTAAGTAGCCCAGGAAAGATTAAGGTGTGGGGGAACAGTAGAAAAGTATGGGCAGAATACAAGAAATAACAAACGGTAACATTAGAGGCCGAATGATACCAGATCGTCTTAACTTCCTTACATAGAATGTCAAAATCTTACTGCAAACTAACATGATGTGGAAAGACCAGGAAAGATCAGAGGAAGTACACAGTCCAAGGTATTTAACATTCGATTTAGTTTCAACTTCAGTGCCATCTATGATAGTGGGACCGTGAGAAATAAGCAGTTCACGTAAGTCACGGCATTGTGAATTTAGACTTTTTAAACCTTTGAACCACTATCCGTCGAAGAAAAACACAATTTTGATACAAACCAAAATATGCGCATCATATCCATTAAACTTTATAGTTTAGCATACATGTGATTGATATCCAAATGAAACATTTTGCTGACAACCATTGTCTACGGACATCTGATCAAAGTAGTAGCGAACGATATTTCTAGGAGTGCTGTGATTAATTATAAGGTAAACGTAGCCTAAAGTTCGTCTATTTCTACGAAGTAATCACGTGAAAACTATCCTTTAAGTAAACATCGAAAAAAAGTGAAGCTGAATACATTTCGCCTAAGTTAAACAAATCTCAACTTCATCGACTTTGAAAAGGCCTTTGACAGCGTCGATCGAGAGGTCATTTGGCAACTACTTCGGTACTACAGGGTCCCATCGACAATAATACATCTCATCCAACACTTAGTTGCACGACAATGCTGCATGCCAAGTAATCCACAATGGGAAACTTACGAAAGCCTTCGAAGTGAGGACGGGAGTGAGACAAGGCTGTCTTCTATCGCCAATGACCTTCCTGATTGCAGTAGATTGGATAATGCGATAGACAGTGGCGGGCAATGAGGAGACAGGCATAAAATGGACTCACACAAAAAAGTACTTGGAGGATCTGGACTTCGCCGATAATGAAATATGTCTGATTTCCCACAAACTGGAAGATATGCAAGTGAAAAGTAACAAGCTGGCAGAAGAAGCATCAAAGATAGGACTTCACGTGAACATAGATAAAACAGAGATAATGAAGATTCCTAGCCAACATCAACAACACCAACAGACCACAATAAGCATAAATGGGAGGAACCTGAAAGAAACAGCCTCCTTCACCTACCTGGGAAGCATCGTCTCAACTACAAGCGGAACTGACGAGGATATCAAAGCAGCAAGAATCGGAAAAGCAAGACAAGCTTTCATTACTGTCAAGTCTGTGTGGAGGTCAACAGCACTCATCATCAAGAATAACATCAGGATTTTCAACTCCAATGTGAAGTCAGTGCTACTCAGTATACGGATGGATCAGAGACTTTCACTGCGCGTCATAAAGAGCATCTCAAACAAACTTCAGACCTTCATCAACAGCTGTCTTCGCTCAATACTCCGCTCAAGATCAGATGGCCGGCTGGCCAGAAAAGATCAGCAATGGGGATCTCTGGGAGCGAATCAACCCGTCAGGAACCGATTGTGAAACAAATAGGCAGGAAGAAATGGAGATGGATTGGCTGGCCATAAGCTGAGGAAACCATCAAGTGACCTCACTAGACAAGCCATTGCTCAAGTGGAACCCGAAAGGGAGGCGGCGAGTTGGTCGTCAACGTGAGGGTGACTTGGAGGAGACCATGTGAAGAGGAGATGAAAGCATGTGGGCAGACGTGGAGCGAGGTGAAAAAGTTGGCAGGAAACCGAAGGCAATGGAGACGTGCAGCTGAAGCCCTATTTTCCTCTGGGAACTAAAGGATACAATAATAATAATAATAAACAAACTTTGAAGTCATTATGAGTTCCACCATATCAAGTAAGCTAAAAATTTGCCTCTGATACAACAACTTTTACATTATAAACATTCTTTGTTAAAGTGAATTGCTTAAATGCTGATGAGTCACTTCAGCAGTTAGATGACAGCTGCCTTTCAGAACCACCTATCTGACAAGTATAAACCTGTCGTATTATACCAATCGTGTTAAGTAGAAAAACATTATGATATCTTACTCCCTCATCTAGCTTAATAATATTTGATTAAAAATGTAATTTATAACCATTTCTCAACTCTTCTTTTTGCAACCGATTATGAATATCACAAATAAGCTTATGAAAAGTTAATTATAACTCGGAGATTATATCGACTAAAGTGCTAGTAGGATTATTGACATATCTCTGTGCACAATAGAACTAAATCTGAGAAATATATGTCGTTGATATATCCTCATGGCTCTTATAGCGATTTAGAGTAATGGACACAAAGCATCGAATTCGAGTTCTGCATTTTATCGGCTAAGACCCATCACACTATTTAGGGATACATGACATAACACGGAATACTTGTCAGTGACTGATCAACAAATCTGCATGGATGTGCATACTATTTCGAGGGTCGACACTATAGAAGTCTGTGCAATAGGAAGCATAGATGGACAAAAACTGCGAGAAACTACTCGCTGTAGTAAAGACATTGTCCAGAGAAGTAAAATGAACGCTTCCCAGTTAAATTGTCAAGCTTAGAAAATAGAACAATACCAGAATCATCCAGCTAAACTACAAATTTTGTTCAATAAAATTAAATATCTTGATTGTATGAATAAGCAGATTTTGGAAGAGACAAGTTACATTAAAACAATAGGAAAAGTAGTAATAAAAAAGATAATTTAAATAAAGACAGTGAGTTAAATTAGCAAAGACTGTTATTACTTTGCAAAAACCTATATCTCCTCTGGCTAAAATAGCTATTTCATCTTCATACATGCACATATACTATTCCGAATGCTTTATACTTTTAGCTACCTGAGTGCTGACTAATAATAGCTTATAAAATGTCTCCAAAGAAATAATATTTTCCAATAAGCTCATCAAAAACCTGTTAATTATGCTCAACTCTGAACACAACAGAAGTTTTAAAAAAGAAGTTTAAGATAAATGGCGAAATTCGGGACTTGTTGTAATTCCCTACCTAATAGGAAATACTCGACAAAACCTAACGATTGTTATTATTTCCGTAGGTTCCGAGCGGAACACAGGGCTTCAACAACACATCTCCACTTTTACCTTCTTCGTGATGTCCTCCTCAGCTGACCTGGACACGACTGCCCATAATATCTCATCACCTCCCACAACTCACACACTCTCCTACGTGTCACCCTCGCAACGACGACACACTCATCGCTTTCCATTGGGATTTTCCACTCGAGTAATGGCCTGCATTGCGCGCCCTAATCTCATTTGGCGGCCTCCTCCACGAACCTAATCAATCCATCTCCATTTTCTCTGCATATCTGTTACTCAATCCGCTTCTGCTTGTGTTAGTTTGTTCCCAGCCAGAGTTTCTTGTTACTAATCCTTTCTCGCCGGCGGACGAACGTGGTAGCCGTTGACAAAAGCCTGCAGTGGCTTGTCGGAAATCCTCTTCTGGGCACGCAGTAAAAATTTCTGACTCGTACAGAAGAACTGACTGACTTCCCATTTGTGTTGAAAATCACAATCAAGTTCTTGATGCTGGTTGATTTTAGTTACATCAGGTTTTTTTCCAAACTGGTTTCAGGTTGGTCAATGCGTATCTCGCCTTTCCGATTCTGGCCCAGTGGCCAGCTGGCGGCCTGGCTGGCTGGCTTTGACATCTTCATCCATTCCGATTGCCTGTGGTTACAATCACGCGTCCTAGCTGGACAAGTCAAGCAAATAACCTCTGTCAAATCTCTCCAGTTGATGGTGATTGGTGCTGGTTATGGTTGTTGTTGTTGCTGTTGATATTAGTGTTGGTTGGTTATTTTCATCACCTCCTCACTATTCTTTCTGTTCACCTGGATGCAGTGGTGTCTTCGCTGGTAGTTAGCCTCTTCAGCCGGTTTGTTGCCAGTTTTCTCCTGCCTCTACGTCTTCAAATTTGTGTGACATGTGACATTAGTCATGCAGGTGTGAAATCCACATCTACAGTATTCTGATTGGTCACTATAGAGTATTCCTGTCTTCTCACTCACACCCAACACACAGTCTGACGCATGATCCAGTCCACCACGAGTAAGAATATCATCATTGGTGATAATAGGCAGGCAGGCAGCCAACCAGATCGTCTTACTGCTGTATACACTTCCAGCATCCCTCTGAGTTTACTATTGTGGATCACCTGACACGTGACATTGTGAAGTGGTATTTAAAGATCAGACAACGGACAGCAAGTTAGTTTATAAGATGCCCCATAAATCTGTGCAGATCCCGCGTGGTCGCGTCTCAACAATAGGCTGAGCGAATGGTATATATTTAAAGGTAGAAGCATGATATGTCAAGGCGTTCATTATTATCTTTTTCAAGATAAAGATCTAAGCCCTCATAAAAATCAGAAATATCTCGAGCCTTTAATTTGTATATTGCTGTTCCTGCAGAATGGGGCGATTCACCTTAGTGACCCCCACCATATCTACTGATCAGCTAACGCCACCCTCCTTCCTGATATTAACCTTAACTTAGTAATTTGGATCCGAAAGTAAACACCATGTTACTAAGTTATTCAAAAGACAGAATGATGAGTGAAACAGTAGTCGGATACTTATTCTGACGAAACCGAATAATGATAATCATTTAGCCTACCAATATGCCGTTTACTTTCAGTCTTAATTCAAAGACAAATTTAGTTACTCACTAAACTAATAGTTTCAGAAGAGTGCTCTACTCCTGTCTTCGAGATAATCTGCCCGATTGTGTTTTACTTCAAAATATGTGTATAATGGCCAGTAGATGTTGCTTGTCCAGTTATACTGTTTTTCAGTTATAATGTCCCACCTATTTCCTATCAAACAAAAGATCGCTTAAACCAACAACAAGTTACCATCATTTCTAAATAAATAACCTTAACTATTCTCATGTAAACGATGCTATAAACTATATCACTTACGTGATATTTTAACTTTCAATTAGTCAATTTTCCCTTACATGAGCACCTGTTTCGATTTTAACCGATAGTTCCAACCTCTGACTACTGAATTAGTACGTTTTGTTATATACCATCCTTACGAAATATAGGTACTGATAATAATTACTGCTAACAGATTTATCACGAGAATGAGAATGTACTCCGTATTCACGACAATATACCTCAGGGGCGGACGTTTTTTCTAAATTCATTACCCAATACAACGCATGACCCTAACTCTGTAGCTCAAAACATTCTATGAAGTTAGTTGTGACTATTAACAAGTAGAATGTTTATCTAGGGTATAGAGAATACATTTGTTAGTGATTCAACACAAAATACAAAATCAACGGTACTGAAAACCGCTTTCTTTAGCAACGAATCCCACGAGGTCACTGGAACTACAGATTACCTAAAAAAGAAAACAATGGTTCACAGGATGTATACATGAATATAACTACCAATATAATATTAACGAGAGCACAG